ACGGCGCACGATCCCCTCAGGTAGACTCTCTAGGAAGCCTTGCACGGTTACCATGTTCTAAGATCAATGTGACGCATTTTGTACCATCGCGTGCCAAACCTTGTACAAATATAATTCTACTTGTTTCACCGTACGTACGTTTGTATCTCGCTGATGCAAAGAAAAGATGAATAAGACTCGTATGTATAATTCTTCGAACATTTTACAAAATGTTATTCGTTTAGTCAAGTAATGAAAGGCGCCAACGTGGCAGCTTATCTGAACTTACAACTTGCAACCAAAGGAAAATCCGCTGACCATTCGTATGAAGAATATAGACCCCAGAGCTGTGTAACGGCAAACAAAAAAATGTATCTATTTTAGTTTTGCTTGTGTCTCATTATTATCAGTTTTATCTTGTTGTTCATTGTCACATTCAAGCGCCGCATCATGGTCATGCTTTCGGTCTTATAGAACGCATCCTACTACGCCAACGTCAATTTCCTATTACAAACGTTCTTTGTTGGATCGTTGTCAATGATACATTGTCCTAGCATAAAAAGGCTTCCGAAAACGTAAGGTATTCTTTAAATAAAACAATGAAACTGTAATACTAGCAACTTTCAGAATTAAATCTTGGGAAAAAAACTTGAAACTCACTTATTCGTAAGTCTACAAACAGACAACTGCGTTAATTCATACATGTACGGCCTTGACAGGGGGCAAAAACCCGATGCTCGGTAACGTTGCTTCTGTACCAACAGCAAAAAAATCAGATCAGATCGGAGAGTCAAGATGTCTATTTGCGAAACCGTTGCTCTTGTCCGGGCTAATGTGACGTTTGATGAAACCAGAATTAGGCTCTCTCCACACAGAGTGGTAGCAATCAGAGTAGCTCCATCGTACTGAACGATCTCCGCGAAAGTCAGCCTTGGTGTTCGATAAATTTCGTCCTGGAGCCTACTGGTTAAAGAAAGAGCCGAGCGTCACTACAGGATAAGCAGGATCTAACAACAGCATGAAAGACCACGCTGCGACAATGGAAATACCAATGGAAACGGGCCGCATATCGAGATCGAGCAAAGACATAGGTACGCACCCTTACTCCTATCATCTCCACCACGTCCATACGAGAGATTCACGTGTCACACGACTCTAATCGGCTACTGCGCGTTTTAGGTATGTGCTACATCACCTGTTTTGCTGTCAGGAACGTTTTAATATACTTGTATAGTGATGAAAAAACAGATCACTATAACAATAATGACCACCAACTAAGCTGTTAGTTTAACCTTAATTAATTCAATTAAAAATGAATTAACCTAACCTTTGAACACAATTAACCAACATACGTCAAACGCATCTATACTTGCGATACAAGTTGAACATACTCGTCCACGCAATTGAGTTTTCGCACTGATGATTTATCAGTGCGGGCGATGCCTTGTCTTCTGACCAGAGATTGCGTGGTAACGAGTTTGCCACTAAACCTAAGGAACTGGTGGTCTAGGTGAATCCAGGCGTAGACACGCTTGATGCTGGAATCTAGCTGTCTCAAGTAACGCCTAAGGTTACAGCTGAGGTTCCGAGTGTAAAACGAAGGAAGCGTTTTCTGGTATTTGTATATGTTGATGCCGCGTTGTTCAAAAGAAGACACTAGAAAATGAGAAAAAAATAATCGCCGTCGACTTGCATTTAACCAAATTGATAGTCACGCTTAATGAAGCCGAACAAACAATTTTCTTTAAAAAAAAAAAAGCATTTCGCCAATTATGTTCTGCGTAGATTCCTAATTCTAGCGACCTAGAAAACATCAGGCCAATCCAACCGCAAAGGGTCACGTTAAGTGAAAGAAGTCGACGATCCTATACTTACAACAGCTAGAAAGTTGATAAATGGCGACAACTGGCATATGGCAGCATGAAACTTACAGAGTGTAATGACCAAAAAAGTCACAAGAAACATGCTTAAATCCGAAAAACTACAATGCGAAAGACGATGAACTTATATGAACCCTAAGGTAGAAGCGGCGTTAGGGAAACTTTGCTAACTTTATCCCTTTTCTTTCTAAAATCTCGGTTGGTGGGTAGTCGTTTTGCTCTACGCGACCTTCAGCAAACGAAAATCATTGTCAAAATAGGCAGGGATCAAACGAACATACAGAATGTGAGGCAATGACTCTAGATGTGAAGCTTACCAGTACATACTTCCATATTACGTACTTTCAAGAATGAAGTGTGGAAAAACACTTTTCTTCCATGTCCGACGCGGAAAGGGGCACGTCAGAGCTGGCTCATTAAACATCTGCCAGTGGAATGATGAAATGTACAGTCGTGTCCGATAAGGCGTTGGAAAAGGGTTTAACTTTTCCTGAAGAAGATGCGAGGAAAAGAGGGAGATAGAAATACACAATGGGCTTAGCACAAAGAAAACAAATAAGGAGGAGAATACTTACGCTTTCTTGAGGTAAACCGCTAAGCCACACAAATTAACGTAAACACCTCTGTTGAAACTATATTACGATATAAGCGAGTAGTTCTAATGCGTATGCCGATGTAAAAGGATAAATTAGTTAATGGCGAAACAAGACCGGAACAGAGCCCGCAGGACCGTCTGGTGTTATATTAAAATGAACGCTATCAATCGACATAGTTAGTGATATACACTATTACTCAGACGGCAAACTCGAGCGCATTTATGTTCCCTACTTTTTGTATGGATATCTGCATAACGCCTGTGTCCGTCGAGTACGATACGTGCGTCAAGCTAAAGAAGCTTTTCGGTGCTTCTAATCTACCGACTCAACAAACCGGATCTAGAAGTCATTTTTTATGTCCTATGTACACTAAAAACGTACATTAGCGTTCGACAGTCTTGATGCCTAAAAGCTGGCAAAATCATTATCTGTTCAGGCATACTGACTTGCCATATTATTATATGATATTATTGGCCATTGGACACATTAAGCAACAGTAGCTTTCCTCCGCTCTCGGAAAAAACGAATATTTGACAAGGCTCGTGACTGCATTTTAAATTCACAAATTTTTCGCTTGTTGACGGTTTTCTCGTCGTAAGGGGCCTCGTCAATTTCTTAATCCTGTCCGTCTGGATGGTTTCCAGGGTGATCTTCATTACGATCCGCAGTTGAATAATGATGTTTGTATGAGATAGTGATACGATCATCTAGTCGCCCTTCGTAAGTCGTAAGTGGCAATAGGTTAACATCACGATTCAAGCGAATTGTATATCCCGTCAGCTGGACAATATCAGGGCACCAATTCAGATGTAGCAAAGGCAATATTATACCTGGCAGGTAGCAATACCTGATCATATCTTCCCGGCTGGTAAGTAAACACCAGGTATTTACATTCACGTTTCAAGAAATAATCATTTTGAACATTCTTACGTTAGTAAGGTCTTTTTTGCGCGGCAAGCGCGAATGACGGTGCATCTGGTATGACAGATGGCCAGACTGAGCGAAGCGTTTTCGACAATGCTTTGACGCTATTATGAAGTCTGATATGATTGATGAGGCTACGTGAGCAACCTTAGACTTCGACCGCACTCACGGGGGCGCACGCCTGTGATTTTGACAGCGCGAAAAAGCATAGTGATTTTGTTTACCTGTCTGTACACGTTACATTTCCACATGAATTTGCATAGATAGCCAATTCACGGGCAGACAGATCGGGACTGCACAATATAAACCTAATGCACGTCGTGCATCTATCCGTGCGGATACAGACGCTTCTAATGATTATTATCCATAGAACAAAAAGGGAAACCCCTCGACTTGTTTTCGATAGATGTCCGTGGTAAGCCGGTTTTTTAATGCGTAGCTCTTAACGAGGTAATTAATTACATAATATATTACGTGAACATGGTGAATAGCACAGTGGGCGACAAGAGGAGCACGTATGGTGATCCTGAAGTGTGTAAATTTACGAACAAGAGTAAAATGATTCTGGACATCGGCTGTCGTAAAGACAGAATTGGCATTGGTCGCCTCAGAATCGTATTACCGAGATCGAGTCGCTCGTGGCTTCGGATATGTCCGCTTTGTCTGAAACGGCGCTCGCAGTAGCGGTACCCATAGAGTCATGAGACACTCAGTGTCCCGTTTATGAACCGCTTGTGAGGTAGCTGAAGTTCATAGGACCGCTGGCATTTGAACAGCTTTTGAAGTAACGGATTATAAACAGTTTACAAGGTTGCGTCGATAGTTGTTCCGCGAATATACTCTTAATAATAATAATGACAACTTTCATTATATTAGGTTATTGATAGCTAGAGATAAAATTGTATATTGTTGAAAATCTTTTTTTCGGATGCCCCATCAGGGGTCGTTCAGAATATCTTGTGAATTTGATTTTATGCGATTGCAGAGAAAAATCCAGTTTATATATTGCTTATAAAAATCGTTATGTTTACATAGCCAAGACGATTTTGTTGATTTATGCTATAGTGTTTAATAGTGTTAATATCGGAATACACAATATTAATGCCTGGATGGTTTAATGCCTTTTGTTTCGAGTGGTCAATAAAGCGCCAAGTGTCACGATAATGCTAGTTCGGTGATGGGTAGCACATGTTGAAAATAAAAATGGCAATATATGAGCAACAACAATCAATACATGGAAAAATACTAACTTGCGAGGGAAAATACGCTTTTTGCACGTAATACAACGCTAACGTGTCCTGGTTAGAATGAAAACGTTACTGAAATAGCACCAATAGAAACCAGCGGCAAATCACCTGTTTACTAGACTTTTATGCAACTAGAAACGCATTAGCGACCAATCTGAGTGTTGCACGTATCTGCACGGACTCGTAAGTGATCTAAAAGGCGACCATTTTGGGCAATTCTCTATGTCACACGTTACATTCATAAGCCTTACCTTGGCCAGTCATATTTATCGCGACGGCTGATGTGTTTACTTTGGCGGTATTTGACAGATAAGAGGCCTTCCTTGCTGCGACAACAGCGAACGCAGCTATATAAGCTTGGTGTCAAAAGACATAAATGATGCGGCGGAAGTGATTAAGGATACGAGCGGTGAACTGATTTATGGAACATTTAAAACGTAATAGTGGTTTTTGTTTACTCTTTCGCTTTTCAAATTTTTTTTGTTTACCAATGCAGAACTATTATACACTGTCGAAAAGCTCTGTTCTTGCTCGTAAGGCCCTTATTCCTTTCATCCCGATCACAAAACTTGAAATCTCATGTTCGAACTATAAATAGGTATGGTCAGCTCATCTTCGATGTTTGCTGTTTTTTATCGTTAGAGGTCAACAAACTGCTGAAACAACGACAACGACGAAGATGGTGTTTACGGTAAAAGTTGAAAGAACAACTCGGAGGTGGCTTGCTACGCCTCAGTATGACATTTTCAGCGCCACTTTATTGGACCCCTTCCAGTTTACGGTAAACGGCTTTGAACCAGCTTCACAACAATACAATGGTTAGATAAGCCCATATAACTTAAGCATAGAGTCTTTACTGATTTACTGAGTTTCAGCTGATTTTTGCTGGTGGCGAAAATCAGTGTCCCGAATTAACTTCTCTTTCATACGGTATGCTCGTCCCTAGAATTTGAACTCGAAGAAGGTTTGTGTTCTGAAAAAACCCGCAAGGATTTTGCAAGAGCAAGGATATGCTGTCCGGCCTAGGTAGTGCGGCGTCCTTTGGGTCTGTATTTTAAGCAGGATTGACTGTATATCATCCACCTACTCGTTAGGCTCACCTGCACAGCTAAATGATCCAGTGTAATTTATTTTTTTGCCTGAAGACGAGAATGGACAGATAACGAGTTTTTTAGAGACACTTTGATCAAATGCTTTCCGTACTCAATAAGCCGGTTGACGACGGGATCTTCTGCCCTCGCCTGCGCTCCATGACAGGTATTTTTGTATAAGTCGCCGCAAGTTAGTTGTCCTTTCGATGATAGCCAATTATTAGGTGCGCTACTATCGTTTCGAGGAACTTGTGTTGACCAAGGCAACCCATTAGCCTGCGGTAGGCTGGCACTGTACATAGAACGGGTGGCTTCTAGAAATATTTTTTAAATAGTAGCAAAGGACAGAAGTGGTCCATCGGTGATTCCACAGGTTTCTGTTGGTTAGGTCAGGTCAGGTCAGGTCAGGTCAGATTTTAATCTTTGATCATAGCCAATATTCCCGATTACTGCTCTCGTCGTGCTTGTAGAAATTAATATGTTAAATCGAAAGTCTCCGAAACTATGTCTTTGGTTATCTAGGCTCTTTTCAATATTTCAGCCTATGCAGTTCTGACAGACAGTAGTATCAGCAGAGTATAGTATAGTATAGTATAGCATAGCATAGTATAGTATAGTATGGTATAGTTATAAAACGCTAGAAGCTTTTGGGATGTATAAAATCGGCTTAATGGAACATACGAGGCATTAATCAATATTTGGATTTTAGGTGATAGACAGAGCTAAATCAACGGCATCACAAACCTCGCAATGCATTAATAGACGCTACGTTTTTCAAGAAACTCCATTGGGGGAGGCGACAAGCTTGTACATAAAGTAAATAAAATTGTAAAACAAGAAAAAAAGAACACATTTACCCATTCCTTTCGCAAGATGAGCGATGTGTTCAAGGTAGAGGGCTATCCTTGTTCAGGCATATGTGTCTCAGTAATCAAAAATATGGTTACAGAAAATATTCACATACAGGGTATAAATCGTGTATTTTCGCACGAAGTAAAAAGGAAAAGCGCTGTACCGAGCTTCACAAATAAATAGTGGATTCTAGGTTTTTCAGCACGCGATCGTCTACCATTAGAGACATCTGAACAAAAAGCACGAAGTTAAAGTCCTACGCTAGAAATAATTAAAAAAAAAAATCATAGCATAATGAATTTAAATACACTTAAGATATATGCGGACAGAGGCACGATTTATGCTAAGTAATCCATAACAAAAGAATTAATTTATTAGATGGACGTTTCGGGTCCAAACGTAAAGAACTGAATTCTGATACCGAGGTACTGCCTAATCTACGCATGTCAAACGGAACAGCCACACGCTGAAGATGTGCATTGTTCGCATGAAACAGCAACAAATGGCGGCAAAACTTCAGCTTTGAATTTGCGGGTCTGTAAAATAACGTTAAAACACGATGTAGCAAAAGGGCGACGTTCGGACAAGGACAGTAAGATGATAGATTGTATTACGATACATTGTTGGGTCCGCAGACGATTTCTCTGCAAGCAGTGATGTTCAAGACCGATCCATCTGCTCGTCCATCTCGGTCAAGCCCCCAATTCACCGTCATCAATCTGTATCGAGGAAATGGCAGGACGTTCGAGTTCAATATCTCGTACGTACATATCTTCATTAAAATTCATTCCGATAAAAACATTTAGCTTTGCCTAAATGTTTTTATCGGAGTATGCCCGTCAGAAAGGTACATTTGTGAAATTAATTAACAAAGTAATAATCTAACGTGATTAGGGTTACAAGTTTCGTGGATGGACCCGGAAGCCCATTATTTTTGTTTTAAAGGAAAACTTTGTAGAAGATCTTCAAAAAAGTCTGAGCGAATCTGACGTACCTCGGAGAACTGGTATGGACAGATACGTCATAGCGTTGTCACAAAACAGAAAAGAATTAACCGTCCACTATATGAGACTCTCGGTCCGTATGGCCGGCGGTGATGAAGCACAAGCAAAAACGCAAACTTAGGACGAATGTGCCTTTTTTATAGCGCCCTTAGTTGCATTCTCTTGCCGTAAACCATCGACTCAAAGAAGACGCAAAAGATCTGAGTTAGTAAGTATGATTGGAGTCGCGACGAAAATATTACCAATCTACAGTTTTTGTCGCTCAAACTCATTTTGCAAAACGTAATATAACTTTGGCTTATGCTGCCCAATGTTGCCCACTGGAAAGGCCAGTATCCGAATCAAGGCTGTATATCTATTTTAGGTAACCAATCTTTTTCATGTATTGGTTTATATTAATTCATCTGTGTGAAGTGTGCAAAAATAAAGACGGCTTATCCTGCAACTCACTGAAAAGTTTCCATTATTAAATTGCGCTGGGGCAAATAAGTTCTCTACTACACTGGTTTACTTATTTTGGACCATGATTTGAACGAAATCTTATTTTGCAATTAGCGAGATTTAACCTTATGCTCGAGCAGTTACCACCAGAAGAATCATTCAGTTAATATGTATTGAATCTGCGATTATATTTCTAATATCGAAAATAGACCTCATCAGATCGACTATTTGCTACAGTCGACGCCTACCTTCAGTGGTCTTCGGTAATCCACAGTGATGTATCCAAAGTGCACATAATTTTTTGCGAGGAAGTTATACTTGATCGTTTTTAAGCTAAGCTAAGCTAAGCTAAGCTCAGCTCTTCTTGTTGCCGTCTGAGATTAGGTCGCTATTGTTTTGAAAACAACAATCAGCAGTACCGTTCCTATTGTTTGTTATCAATAATCGAGGCTGAAACAAACTTTGATGATACGAAGTTTGCAGTTGTTGTTCTATCTTCATACCCCATCTGGTAAGTTAATATAGACAGCAGTAAAAACCTAACGATTGAATGAGGATTGCGCTATATACATTCAATAAATGTCTAAATATTCACATGAATACCATCGAAGTTAGATCATCATCATAACATAGTTAATAACGAGTGATGCAAGCCGCTCGTAAGCGTCAACTTCACTCGACTATTCGATCTCCTTTCATTAGCGAAGTGTTCGAGTGAGGTCTCCGAATGAAAAAATAGTTTGTCTAATCTTCGCTTCGTTTGTTAGGTAATAGTATTTCGAGTAACAGTCTTGAATTAATCCCATTATTTTCTTAGAAGACAGGTGTTAACAGAAGTAAGAAGAAAAATGCAATCTACTCTTCTGTTGCTTCGTAAGAACATGCCTAGATGGTACTGGTGGATGATTCATTACGTCTTTTCATCGATGTACACAGCGTTCCTGCTTATATTCCGCTATCAAGAGCTGCCACGCACCGTTGGTGAAATTCGGTATCAACAATGGGATATTTTGAATTGCAAGCAAGTAAGATAGGCTACAGGTCGCATAGAAATTGTTCGTTTAAATTAAAGTTCTAACGCATTTAGTGTGGATCGTAATAATGCATAGTTGTCACAGTGACTCCATTGCCTAGTGCTGAAAATGATATCATCGCCAACTAACAGTGAACGTCATAAGTCCAATCGGACCTAGTTTCAACAATAGTACTTATTCTATTGGGTCTATAACACTGCAGACCTACAATTATTTAGGGTACAATCTAAATGTGCTTTGCAAAAACCCCACATACTTATAGCGTCAATGAAGGCATAGAGAAATTGAAGTACGAAACATCCGTTTTAGTGCATTTTCGGAGTAACTATAATTGAGTTGATACGGGGTGTTGCCACGCTGCCCTAAATGCTTTTATTTAAGATTATTATCAGACATTAATCATGAGGGAATTGAAGTTCGAGGTAGGAAGAACAAGGAATTAAAAGGGATATTATTAGGCTTAAGCTGTTTGTATGATAGGTTTGTTGAAGAAGCCCCAAATAGCTTTAGGTAGACCCACTCCGGTTAGACTTCTAATATGGGCAAGTCCTTAATGCCAGCTTTGAAAATAGGCGATTCCGAGAACTTGGTCACATATCTTTCCGGTTACTATAAAAACTGATGCTAATCTAAAAAATTAGCGGTATAGGGCAGTGGTTACCAGCGAAAAGAGATAAAACGGTTCCATAAAAAAGTATTGATCGCTACCGTTAGAATATGAGCGCGGACAAACAGCTACTTCTGAAACGTTTTTGAGCAAGGGACAGCGTCCCAGGGCGAAAAGTCTGTTCAGTGGGGCTGCTTTACTATGTCTTCCAAATAACGGTAATAGTAACAGTGTAGGTGTTCTCAGATCGTTCTGCATACAGCACAAACCGGTGGCTAGCGGCTTCAATGCATGGCATTAGCGTAGTCTTTTTTCTCTGTTCAAGGCGAATTCTCAGTGCTCTACTTTTAATGCCGAATTCTTCGAAATGCCGAAAGAAATATGTCGTAGAGAACCAGTAACATCATTTACGCATTAAATGGGTTTTCAGACGCTGACCAGTGAGTACATGCCCCGCTTTAAAATAGTGGACGCCGATAACACAATGGGACCCCTTGATGAGTTCTTCGACTTTGAAAGAGTTGTTAAGCACAAACACGACTTTAACGATTTCATGGGTCTCTCTCAACTTGGTGTGCATGTTCTTAACAGAACGACATCGAATTACCAATACAACGAGCTACTTGCTATTTCCGGTAGTGTTCATCCATCGAAGTTTTCACCGCTTCGGCTCGAGCCAAAGTGAGTAACTTGCGGTTCGTCAACTTCGTACCGTTTGTCTCAGTCTTTGTATTTGTTATTGTGTATTTGACATCGTATGTACTGTCACAGTTTAGCCTTTACTGTAACCGGCACCTCAAAAGTCCGTTCAGCGTCAGAGAGGCTAAACAGGACCCGATTATAGAAAGCATTGCGTTACGACAGACGCTTACGATGACTAGACACTCACAACGCGTCTTCTCTGTATCGACGCGCGAGATACATGTTTGTACATTGGTGGATTCGAACCTGTGACCATCTAGACTTGGCACCGAAATACTACGGTGATGCATAGCTGAACCAGTATCAGGCGCCCGGTGGTGCGTCGTTTGGCGTTAGTTTCAGTTCCTGTTTCTCGTATAGCGCCGTAACCATCTAAAGCTAGCCATTTTACACTACTGAAGGGGTGCGCTACTGCGCCTCGAAAGCGATAAACACACTTCTATACCTGTTACTTGCTTTTTGCGAAAATGTATTCCATACCACTGCCGTGTGTACGCCTGACTTACGGAGTTAAGCGCATCGTAATTAGCCTTCTTTTTGTTATTATTTTGTTTCAGGTCATTCCTGCTCTTCGATCCTCAGGAGAGCTTTATTACCCAACACGAATTTCTTCGAAATGGATTTTTGTGTGTCGTGGGCAGGATGGTCGCGTACCAAAATCAGCTTCTAAATAAAATCAACATCACGATTACACCGATGCCGTTTGCTAACGATACGTTTGACAGCTTTTTTAAGGAAGTGCAAATAAGCCGAACATTGTCTCATCTTATACGACATGCACACCCTGTCGAACATTCACATTACTTTTTATTATCATAAAATCAACAAATTAAGTAAAATTAGGTAAAAGTTTTTTTACCGGTTCTTCATTGCTCACTGTCAATTATACTTGTATTGATATAGCGTCACATATGTTGCAGCATGCGCGGAGGTGATACTAAATTGTAGTGAGGGTCATTTGACCTTCATTCAGATCTTTATTTCCTCTATTGTAACTTCGTTGTAACGGCTTGGTTTACTTTTTATGCCAAACGAACGTTTTATAATACTTCGAGTCGAACTTAATGTGTGTTTTAGCCCGTACGGCTTGAGGACTCGAGTGGGTTAAACGAACATATGGTAATGTGCTATTCACCGAGAAAAATATTGGATCTCCGGGAAAGCTGAAGGGCTCGTAGGGGGTGGAAAGACGACAAACATTTATCGTAATTTCGCTTCATAAAAAATACATTTACTCTGTTAGTTCAATATGTTCATTAGCATGGAGCCACTTACAGTCTTCAGTTCCAAAGGAAAGGACCCACTGTACAGGCGTACCTAACTAATAATCTCAAGTTTGTTTTTCGCGTATAATGCTTTTCCTGCTGCAGGCGGAAATTTGGTGCATCCCGCTTGCAATAACAGCGCTCTTCCTTTCAATATTGTTATCACTCACTACGGCGCTAAATAACGATGAACGAAATCGTGTATATATTATGCTTCAAGTGGTGGACTATAACCGGTTAGCAAACACGATGACGCACCTCGCCGTACACACCGTTCAGGTAATGCAGTCTGTTTTCTATTTTCTAAAATTATTTATTATTATTACTATTATATTTTTATATAATGTATTATTATTCGAAAATTTTTTATTTTCGAAGGCTTTTTTAGCCTATGAGCCTATGAGCTCAATGGAAGCACGTGTCCCTCCTGGGACTGGAATTAACAGCTTTGGGCTTCAAGAAAATAAGCAGTCTGAGCCACGATTAGAAACTAGCATAAATATAATATATCGCAACTTGCGCGTATGGCGTTTACGGACGTTTAACACAGTTGGATCCTTGAGGGGTTCGTACATGAGCCCCTTCAATTTCTGTTTAGGTTCTGTGTACTTCCCTATACCATGCTAAAGTGCTCTCGTTCTCTTCGGTAAGTTCGTTGTATACTCACTGAGCCGTGAACGCGCCGGCACTTCGAGTTTGGGCTTGAAAGAATGTGTGTTCTGGGCAAAAAATAAATGTATATTCGACATCCACGCTATTTCGTTCTTTTGCATTTTGCACCCATCAGCTCTTCGGAAAAATTGGACCGAAGAATTGCCAGTTCCCGAATTATTGTAAAATTCAATTAGTAACTGAACATGGGTCACAGTACCTCATTGGCTCGAGATCTTCAACGTTAGATCTAGCGGGTTCTTAGGGTCCCGTAGAAGCAGTAAAATAATTTAATGAAATTGATATTATAAGTCCGATTAAGTATATGTTTATTGGTTAGTAAATTCAAGGAACGTTAATGGACCGAGGCAGAGCCTTCAAGTAGACGGCTCAAAACGTGCTATAACTGTCTCAAATACTAAGAAACTTAATAAAACCACTAAGACTATTCTTTTACTTTCACGGTACGGAGGATTCGGTTAGACTAAGATATAAAAGACCATCAGTTCAACCGTGTGAAACGTCTCAGCGTTACGCATTTGAAATTTAAGTTGGTTAGCTATAAGGAACTAAGTCTCTTACTGCTGTGCATTCGGTTTATATTTGAGCGAAAATAGAGCTACTTGGGTACTTCTGGTAGTCCAGTATCCTTAATCTGGATTCGTAGGGTCTATGATTCGAAAAGGGGACGGCAAAAGTAAAAAAGAAGTATCCTTCCACGCAAGTACGAAAGAAACCTATGTCATTTGGCCTACAGCGAAGTGTCAACCTGCACGGAGGGTAAAAATAACATTTTCTTAGCATAATACAAAACAGTGGACTCTGCAATATCGTGGCGAAAAATGCACCAGCCCAGATTAAATCGCCGCTTCAATTGAAGATTGCACTCTTTTACTATCTTGCTACGGATTATTAAAAGTTTGGGAAAACTTCTTTACCTAGCTCATCATTAAATATTTTTTTCAAATTACTCTTTTGAATCTTTTGAGATAACGAGGATACTCTAAAGTTACAACGGGGTAAGTAATTATGATAGTAGATTTGCAAATAATAGAATTATGTATGTATCAATTCGTCATGCACACACAGTATGTCAACAGATGGTGATAATTACTGAAAAGTCATAACCATCATGTTGAAGTTCATCAGAAATCCAGTGTAGGCCACATGTGATCGTTTATATATTGGTACGCTAACCTTCTCGTTTTTTTCTTTGCTCTCAGATATGGATTTTTGTAACTCTTATGTGTCTGGGAATGTTGCTTGGGGCGAGCGTGGTACATACAATGTCGGACTACCCATCTAGGTTCTATGAGCGCATCTTTTTCTTATGGTGTATGGCCGGTATCTACGGGACCGCCTTGGCCGCTTTATGCACCTTCTTCACGGTAGCGTTCTGTACGTGTTATTCAAGTTTCTTTTTCAATGCACGTAATGGCCGAAATATAATGCCAGGGGCTTGTCAGTTATATGTTAACAAATGGATGCACTTACCTTTTTATTTCTGACCAGATCCTAGAGGCGGTTCTTGGATTGCAGTTGCTCTGGCGGTGATGCCTCTCTGGGCCGCAGTCATTGGCGAAAGAACATTTGGATGCTACCGCTTTTGGTACTGGTTCTTCCCCTTGTTGAACCCATTTCTGGCGTTCCATATGTGTTTAGTCGACCCACAAGCAACTTTTAGAGGTCAGTTGAACGATTTTTTGTGACTGCTAAAAATCACTACTGTAGAAATGTTTAAATCAGACCTGGCAATGTCAGCAGGCTACGCAATCTTCAACCTGTATCCGTGCATAGAATGTGATGTGTGGTGATTCCAAAAGGCGTCATGATAGAAAAAGAGACCGATTCAGAGCGTGACTTGATACCTCAAATAAACTTTCCTGCGAAAATATTTTTGTCGGCAGGTGAACACTCTGATCAAGACTGAATGACATTCAGCGTACCCTCAGTTTAGATGCGATAAGCACTGACACGTACAAAAATGCATATAAGTGCGTATTGATAAAAACATATATCGTGATTAAAAAAACTAATATGGTCACCCAAGATAAAATGAAAATAGAGTCGCTCTTTGACGGCTGATAGTAATGTCTTGTGATAGAATATCATGACAACGAATATACCTGATGATTCACGAGGTAGTGGAGTTTATCAAACCCTCAAGAGTGCGGGAATAAAGTTTTCTGTTGGATTATCTATTGCAGTCTGTTTTTTATCTACTTGACCCCCTTAAACAGCTATTAAGTGCATTAGTAATACTAGAATAGGCCATTTATGTAATTAAAACGTCATAGAACGTTTTGATCGTTTCGGTAATACCGTAAATGACGACTTGTATGTAAGCTCTAGACATTGGCCGTTCTATTTATAAAGGTTTAGGTGGTCAGACTGACTGCTACACGCGAATGGTTTTGGATACTCATCTACTGGTTGGCGAAATCGTGGAACCTGGTTTCGTCTATTTAATATTCCACTTGTTGGTCAGCATTGCCGCGGTAACCTGGGTCGAAACTTATCATATGAGTATCGATTCCTCTTTTGAGACTACCGGACTGCCACATCAGCGCCTGATATGCTGTACTACGATTTTACCCTCGAAGTGGGGAATTTTCTCGCGACTGTGGTCCAGCAAGACCGATGCATCAGATGAAGCCTTCGGTCAGACCGGACGATGTCGCCCCCTTGAAGGCATTCTCCGTGCAGTCGAGTCAGACCGTAAGCATTGTTATACCAAATATATTGGTACTAATAGACGATAATAAAGTTTCAATAGTTTAGAATGAATTCCTTATTTTAGTTGGTGAGATGACCAAAGCAACTTGATAAAGTGTTTTTTATTTTGCATTCTATGATTTGTTGGAAAACTCTCTATGCATTGGTTTTAACGTGCAGTGCAGATGTACGTTAGGGTACCATATAAGGCGCGAGAAACAGAGCAACACTGACACTTTTACAAACCCCTTTGTTGTATTAACGGTTGAAATGTGTACAGCGTTAACTCAGTCAACGAATAGTATTTGGACCTCATATCGAGAGACAGATTACTGATTCGAGCTCCCACCTGTCTAAACACATTTTGTATAGGTAAACATTTTTGAAGAAAGAAATTTTTTTGTGAAAGGGTGTTTTTGTCTCATTATCAAAAACTTAATATCTGATACCTATCTTACCGTTATTTACAAGCTGATTTTTGCTGAGACGCGTGACTGTTGGTACATTCGCTTTGTCCGCTATTGTCTTCCATGAACAAACCGCGGACATGAAATTTTAAGGCGAGCTTCTAATTAAATACATGTGTTCTATCTGCAAGTGTCTCAGCACATCGCTTTAACATGGCACTAATTATCCTTTTTATATACCGTTCAGATCATGAGCTGGTAGCCAGCATCAAAGAAGTATCTGTTAACTGGAAGGGTGAAAATATCATGGACAAGTTTACAATGAAGTTTCCAGTGGATTTTGTGACAGCGCTCGTATCGCAATCTCCAATGTTTTTCGCTGTATTCATCGGTGTTTTGACTGGTACTATACGGACGTACACTGGACAAATATCTTCTCATGGTAGGTACACGATGGAACAACGTGCTTCAGTAAGCATTTGTCAAATAGGACGTTTCGAATGCGGCTTACAGCGATGCACAGTGACGGTAGCCTTCAATGCCATGTGATCTGTATACCGCATCAGTAATCTATACCGGTGTATCTATACCGTAAAACATGATCTATAACAGACTGTCTGAGATACGGCGACACTTCAAGGAATAGTAGAACTCTGAAAGGCAAATCCTACTGCGTAGACAGCTACCGACCAGAACGTTTGTAACCTTTACAACACAACTGAATGTATCATAGATTGAGCTAATTGTAAATAGTTGATCGGATAGGTGGAACCGATCCGGTTCAGCTAGGATCAACCGAACGAGATAAGTGGAGGGATGCCTCCGACATTAGGCTGGTGGAATGAGTCGAATTAGATGAAACGACAGCAACCCAAATTGGGCCGGTCTAGTCTTTAAGAACAACAGTAAATTAAGATGTTTTTTCCTTCTCAAGGCGGGCAAAAGTGGAAATATATTGGGACGCTGTTGCAAAGCATACTGTATATGCTAAAATAAACGGAAAAAGGCCCGCTTCTTAGAAAGATTGGTGATCTTGTTAAGAGAAGATAATGCTAGGTAATAATTTAATAACCAGGACGAAGAAGAACCACAATTTGTTTATAATGGAGCTTCTAACCATTGCTCTCCATAACGTACTTGCGTTGACGAACGAAATGGTATGACAGCAGCTAACTTCCAGTATGGTTTTTGGAAGGTGGTGAAACGCAGGATCGTAAGGAAGAATAGTTTTTTTCCAGCTATCTTTAATTAAGCTGAGATTCAATAAAATGCGAAAGCCCTATTTTCGGAAATTTCTTCGGTGAAAGTTGGTAAACCTTCCTGCCAAATTTCAGATACATATGGGTTTCATATACCCCAAGGGTGCCAGAAAGATACATTCTCGTTGTAACGAATTTAGCCCCCTTATAAGCTCGTTATATGGTTTCAGATCTTTCTGCATGCTGTGAATACAGAAGTAGCACAATACTTTTCATACTTCAGCAATGGATTAACACATAAGCTGTGGGTGCCTGCCTATATTCTAGTCATTATTTTGACATACATATGACGGCTATGGCGATGAAGGCAAGTTAGAAAGACTATTCTAACTAAATTAGTAGCATATTCGTCGAGGCAGAATTTCTCACATAACAACTACACTGTACTAATAAATCGACTAATGGCTTATTTTAGTTAACCGCTCTTAAGTTAAAAAATGAAACTACAAGTTACAAATGATCTTCCAGACGTGGTAAAGCCTCGGCTAAAGGCCCAAAGTTCTTGCTTAAAAATAGGTAAGTTACTACTCCGACACCAATAGAGCCAGTGGAATTTCCTCTGTATAAGGTAATCATTTTTTAAAACGGTCGAAAGCTTTGGGTGTAATTTAAAAGAACATTATAGTTTTGGCCAGTTAAGTAGCCTGCTGTAATCACCCCAAACGAAGTCAACCACAGCATCTGACTAATGTCGGCACGTGTTCCCGAAAATATAGGTATTTCAGGGAAGGCCTTCAAATTTGCAAGAGAACTCACGTAATGCTCATCGAGACTCATAGAGCAGACAGAGCTGCGTATAGAATGAGAATTGTCTAAAAATCTGCGTATGAAATCATACGCCAATGATGTAGCTATGTGAATCGTTCTCTTACAGAAAAACTGTTCGGCAAGCTAAGTATATCCGACGACTCATTATATGAGGCCCTTTTACCTACAGGTGAGCACCACGGGCCTTCAGTAACTTCTACATCTCACACAAAGGACCTACACTATAACACATTAAAGGGACATATCTCAGTGTGTACAGCCGATCCAATACTTTTCAACAACCTCACAGTGCTCGACAACTTCCGCATATTGAACAAACTGTTGACGTATGGTGAGTGCCTACAGTTTCGTTTCAGGAAGCCTGGGACATTTTTTGGCCAAATCGGTCTCAGGACCACGTATTATCACACATGTCTTGTGCTGGCTGGCTGACTAAGATAAGTTTGATACGCTTAACTGAAACCGAGTGAAAACATTTTTCGGATAGTTCGAACGCCGAACGACAGTTAACAGTCTATTGTATGCCGATATCTGGCCACAACCAACAATAAATATTATTACATTTTGTTTTTTCTATAATATACCGTATATATAATAATAATAATAATAAATATCTAATAACCTCGGCGCAATTCCACCGTAATGCCATATTGGACGTGATGTGGAGGGTGTAGTCCAGGTTATTTTTATTCAAGTTTATTGAAATTTTATGTTACACTTCTATTGATTACGTACGGATTACTCTGGGTCGCTTGCCAAATCTGTCTAAATTTATCTCGCGATGCATAATTTTGTCGTACAAATATTACCTATCTATTCATTGTAGGGTTGATGTAATAGCGATGTGACTTATTGTTTCAAGAAAAAAAATACGTAAACAAATTTTGTTTTTCGTCAATACGGATACATTTTCTCAGTTGTTCCATCAGCCTAAAGGAAACCTCGGACCTGACGCACCCGCGATTCGTCACTAGTCGCACGTTTTATGCTAATTATATTAGGCTAAGCTGTGGAGGAGATGGGTCTAAAAAAAAAGTTCAAAAACACATAAAAGTCTGTTATGTTTGATGAAAATGACACATAGCACGTATTTAGCAATTAAGTAGTTTATGACCCCTTTGAAGTCCGGTCTCTTATGCAACTAGCTTGTAACTAATCATCTTTGGCGTGCTGTTTGCCCCTTTAGCGGAGCTGGACCTTCATTCTCAAGAGTTGATGGCTCGACTAAATGTCCTCCATCTGATTGGTTGTAAAGTGAGAAAATTAACAACCGGACAAAAAAAATTAATCGCCATGATTATCGCACTCTCAAGCGCTTCGCTCGTGACAATTCTCGAGGAGCCCCTGCAAGGACTTCATCAAGAGGACATACCATTGGTTCGTCGCTTATTGGTACTATATAGGTTTTCGCTTGTAGGTGTTCCCAAATGTATAATAGCTACTACTGAAGATCCAAAATTGTCCCTCTACATGCAAAAACAAGGTAAGTATGAAAATGTTCAAATCCATCCTTTCTATTGCATCGATATAGTGTATGGCCATGGGTGAGAATCATCATTATTTACATTCTAATTTCTGTGACGAAATAGTCTAGCTAGTTAATAGGATAGAAATAGCCTATTATACATACATATAAATACCAAAAATAAAATAAAAGATAGACATTAAATAGAAAGGTACATAATTGTCTATTCGACTGGTACGTGCACTGAACATATTTCAATCGTCGCATCGTTAGGTGTTGCAGTTAATACATATCGGCAAAAGGCAACGCAGCGTTGTGGTTCTTACGGCTAGCCCAAAAGTAGCGGAATTGCTGGGCCAACGGATTGGCATTGAGTTTCAAGGCGAGCTGGCACTGGATGGATCACCATCCTTCCTTCGGAACAAGTTCCGTTAGTAAACAGCTTTATCGAAGTTTGATTTCGTCTAACATATACAGCTGCAAACCAGGCATAGTTTGGGAACATCTCTGAGAAGCAATTCGACCTTTGGAGCATCGGTACTGAGAATACGGTCACGATTCGGCCTAACACTTTTTACCAACGGCGGTGCCCGGATTGTCGATTAGAGATCGCTATCTAATCTTACGCATTCATAGGTGATTTTGTGCCAGATACAAATGGCTGTAGACCTTATTGTTGTTTCGGCAATTTGTGTGTGTTCTTTCAGATTTTGATTATAGTCTTTGTATATCGAAAGAGCGCTATTGTCGCATGGGACAAATATATGATGCCCTGGAAGAGCTAACAGGTAGCCTGTTGACGGCGTTTGATGACTTTGTTAGCGCTAAGTTCCTATTTCATTTGACGCACCACGACAAACTTAACGTACTGGAGAAGATTTCAGAGCGACTAGATCAACAAAAAAACGAACTCAAGATTGCGGGGTTCAGCCTTGCAGAGACAACTATAGAGGACATGCTCTTTCTTCTTAATCATGTGCGTAACCATTGTTGCTATTATTATTATTATTATTATCCGAACTAGAATTGAGGTTTTATTTTACACGTATCAACTCGTATGTCGTCCTGAAAATAATAAGGAGAGACGATAATTTACTTGGAGTATTCTCAAAGCTGTATTATCTGTAATTAGAAATTTCTTGCTACTGTTGTATTTTGTCGTATCTGTACTGAGAGAGCCTATTGATTGCCCTACCGGCTGTCGTCGAGGCGATGGCAAACTTCCGTCTTCTCTGATCTATCAGCATCAACGTGCAATACCGTACGAAACAGCGCTTTCGTATTATTCGTAGAAGAATCGTCATCACTGCTTTTCGAAGGTAGCAAATCGTTGTTATTTTTACCTGACTTGTGTAGCCGGAGGGCTTGCGTGGTGCTGATATCGAGGGAGCCGGAACGACGAAGGCCGATGTACGAAATTGGCTTCGTATGCACACTGCGACGAAAGTCAAGCGATTGCGGTATCAGAAATTTCTCGTTGCACTGTCTTCTGTCATCTGTAAGTCAGATAAGTCATTCCAGATGATGCATGCGAACACTGTGGAGTATAATATCGAGGTTTTATCAGCTTTTTTTGACTACGTTATTGCTTAATATTGTATATTGTTGAACCCGTTCTCTGACAGAGAAGAGGTTCCTCAGCGTTCATTGCGCCCAGCCGCGCTGTAAGAAATTTCCAGCGTACGTATATTTGATCATTTACTAGAAATTTGTGTTCGAATAGACAAAAACGCATGAAGATATTTGTCTTTATCGTTGCAGTACATTCGGGAATTAATATTTCGCGACTACCTCTAGCCCGATATATAGTCGCCTGTCTCGTCGTGATAACGCTGACCTACTTCCTTGTGCACAGCGGATATGTCCTGATGTACCTCGACTATAGCGACGAGATTAATCCTTTTATGAATTACTGCGTCCGAGGGGATGCCGATCTGTTAAAGATGATAGAACCATATTTTAAAGGCTTAAATAGATATCGCTGGGAAAGAGGCGACAGCTACAAGACTTTACGGAGCAAGTATGAATTTTGTTTGGACGCCAAAAAAGACCCGAAAAATCTGTCGGATGTAATTGAGATTTCTGTTCATCCAAATAATGAGGATATTCTTCACAGCGTCATTGTTTCTCTACTGAACGTAGCCCTAGCGAGACAGAATAGGAGTGTATCGTATACTCTAAAAGTCGTTAAGTCAAAACTGGACTCGTACCGGGAACGTCTTACTTGTAAGTTGTCGTTGAGCGTCGTAGACAAATGGGGCACATATCATTTTTGAGGTCATTTGTGACACGCTAAATCCGGCTTTTTTTGCAGATACCATGACTTTTACATTAGCTCTGATAGTGCGTCGCTTGACGCTTGCCTAACAAATAGGCAGTCGATCATCTTACGTGTACATCCGGGTGCTGACAGTTAGCTTATTGTAGTAGATTTCTGAGCTAAAAAAGTTAGCAGCCTTAAGCTCTAGTGTGGATTCAACAGCATCCAATTGTAACAGTACCTTTTGAGCAGGCCGAGAACACCTCTCACGAACGGATCGTCCGATTTGGCTGGGTATCGTACATTCGGCGTACTGTATGAGCTAAGAAAAACGATCAGAACCACCATATGTGCTACGGCCTGTCGCCTGAATCGTTAGTTAATTCTATCATGAAGCTTACTTGGTCGTATGGGAATCTTAACATCTGTGCGTTATTGTATTGCTTAGTCGAAAGCGACGCCAGCCTTCTATTTAGGATGATCGTAATCGTCTTCATTATCACCAATAGCTTCTACTGCGTCCGCGCTACCTACACGCCCTTTTTGTACCGTCATCTATTCTATTCTGGCCTATCAAAACTACCTTTTTTTATCGGCACCTACACCGTACTTCTTATCTTGAGTAAGTAGTCGATAGACTCAGACGTTGTTCTTCTAAGTTGTTCTAAGTGACTTGTGCTTGTCGTTATAATTGGTGTAGAAGAGTGTTCACACTAGACAATGGTTTTGGGCCCGTTATTGTGTTTCTGCACCTTTGCGAAGAACATACAATAACGGTTGTACATTTTACCAGTCTAATAATAAGATAGATATTATGTCGTTATTGCATATTGTTTTTTTAATTGCATGAGAATTTATGAGTATAAGGACTGTTAGAGTGCAAATTCGACTTTTTAACTTAAAACTTACGATTTGTCTAGAGCTGTTAACCAAAGGTCATTGGCTCGAGCCCCACCACGATAGGTTTGATTAAGTACTAATTGGCAGTGTCCTTCGACCCAAGTGATCATGCATATTCTCGTAATCACTTATATCAGTAATAAGGGTCGTGGCAATATTTGGGACAGTGGCCTTATTATTTCCTCCCATTGTCTGTTTCTAGCCCTACGATCTCTGAGATCTCGAAGGTCTGTTTCCGATTCTGTGATACCTTCGGTTTAAAATTCCATAATCGATCCTACCACATGTGCGATCGATCCAATATGGAACCGCGTAGTCTTAGGCCACCACCTTTAGGTATGCTGTTTACCATAATCTATAACGAACGAATTTACCGTTCGATATTTGTTAGAATTACGTTAGTAGAATGCATTATAAGCTGATTAATTGGAAGGTTATCAAGGAGCCGGTTACTTGGTAATAATAACAATGTCTTCTTAAAAGTTGGCCTGCGTGCGTTTCTTGCTTGTGTAACCTCCCACGGAGCAGTTTATGTCCGTTTGTGTGATTGATTACCTTTCGATTCTCCCTATCTAGACACAGCCGTTCTAATGATATTCGTGATCATGCCTACATGGTTACACCATACGTTTCAAATGAGGACATTGGATACTTTTTACGACCCTGGCCCTTTATGGAAGGATTACATCATTTTCGGGATGCTCGCCGGCTCCGAGCTAAGTTTAAGCAGCATCGCATACGCACTCCCGCTTCCGTCGTGGATATCGTCTATACATCTCTTCGTCTACATTTTTTGCACTTATACGTGCCTTACTTTGCTCTATTTGTACGGTTATAAACAAAGCATTTGGATGTACGTCGCGTCACCAATAATTGCCCCGGGAAGCGGTACGTCAATTCAAGATGTTTTTTTTCCTTTTGACAGGCGCCTGGCGCATATCAAGCACCGACTAGACACCGAAACGCAATTAAATTCTTCTAAACGTATTCTATGTTAGTCTTCCAAGCATTTTAGGCGATAGGAAAGGTATACTAACAGAGGATACGAATCACATGATGGAATCTCACAATGCCTATATACGCAGCGGGCGGACGCCATCTTTAATTAAAGAACCGGCAAAAAAGCCCGAGTACCAAATACAGTTTCTTGAAAACTGCACTTGCGCTGTTCTTCCGCGTTTCAAAATCTATTTCACGGATGCTCCCGCTTTTTTCGAAGATCAAATATAAGTCTGTTGCTCTTGCTTTTCGGCCGCAAATAAACATGTGATGCCTAAAAAGGCGCGTTTATGATTTTAGCTGTTTATGCCGCAATTTACTTGATTCTGGAAGGCGAACGTGTTGGTACCGTTTGCTCCGATCCGACAGTGATACAACTTGTTTGCCCATGGAATCCGTACGCTTTAAGACAATGCTGCGTGAATGGTGGCTGGCAGTGTTATTCAAAGAAGGCATCGAATGAATTATGTGAGTCCACACAAACATGATCCTTTTTCATGTGCTTTCAAGAGAAATTCAAATCGCCTAGATATAATACTTCAGTAACTCATTTTAAAATCAGATCTCTATGAAAGCTCCTCTACAATCTAGCCCCAAAGAAGTTGTACGCAGAGTCATATGAAGTGGATAAGAAATTGAAGTAGAAATCATGTTGGCGGTATCAGTAGAGTTGTTTAACTGAAGATGTTTAGCCGGGGAAAAAAAAACTGCCGAGAACCGGTTTTTGCAGACGGGGCACTTATTCCTCGACCACCGGGGACGGACACACGATGGTGACCAATAGAATTTTAGATTGGCAATTTGCCCGAAAATGGGTTGCGTTCCCGTTTCCAACGGGTCTAAATTATATCTGAATTCGAGGTACCATCTGTTAGATTTCAACATAAAGGGAGCAGCTGCCCTTTTTAGAGCTGTTGTCAGTTTTCTCATATTCAAATTTTCGTGAAGTCGAAAGCAATGTCTAGAAGTAGTCGATTTGAAAGCTCGCTTCTTTCTCTTCAAACATTCCTAGTCTAGGCTTTCTGTAACTCTTGTTTGTTTGAAAAAAGAGTTATTGGGTTCGTGACACGTTATGATAGCCATTTCTGTACCGTACTTCAATAAAGCTCACAGCGGCTCAACGAAAGTGTTCATTAAACGACCTTTACCCTTCTCGTTGGGCCTGCCCTTAGGAACATTGTTCAAGAAAACTGAAACCCCTTACGAACCCCTCAAGCATACCGATAAAGCCCGATTAAACAACTTAACGCTAGACGCCTGATTGTCTGTCCTGATCTGCCCTGCCGAATTAATAGGGATCCCTTCTGATGACGAAATCTGAAAACAAAACTTTAATAAAATAAAACATTTTAGATCTTATGGGTCGGTCGATCTTTTGAAACTAACTAGTCAATTGTTTTTTACCGATATCCGTTGTTTTTTTACTCACTGGAACCTCCGGGTCACATCAGGACGAATAATATAGCGACATCAGAATTGTTCCGAACGTTTTTCGCAGCAAAAATTGTCCTGCCTTAAACACTTCACAGTCACATATGTTGAGCGTGTAAACTTTGTGGCCTGAGATGAAATAGTTAATCGCTAAAGGCTACATTAACAAGGACATGTGTAGGCGCCATTCCTAGAGATCAGTGTTCCGGCCGGGTGCATGTCCTTTCAGCCCCATCTTTAGATAGAGTCGTGACAATATTGGAATACAAGTCGTCAATCGGGTGTGCTATTTTCATAAATAATAATATAAAGTTGTTTTGTCTTCTGTTGCTGGCTGTCTAACACTTGCAACCAACTGTAGTTCGTAAAGCACCGTTGAGCATAGATTAAACCAGAACTAAGCTTAGTGAGACCAATCGGATTAATGTTAAACTAGTTGCAAATACGCCATAGCTGGAGTTGATTGATCCGTAGGAAAGTAACGGTGAGAGGAAAAGCTCAAATAATCTATGTTTACTTTTCTGTTCCCTTCGTAGTGCACATTTACTGGAGTCTGATCTTCTTAAAGCCCCTATATATCATCCTCATCGTCATTATGCAAAAATGGAATTCGATCACTCAGTTGATCCTGATTGGGGAACGGCGTCGGCGTAAAAAGAACATTAGCGAGCTAGAAGAATTTCTGAAACATGAAGTTGTTATGGCAGAGGGTAAGGATGAGACGCTCCTTCGGGAGGCGGCGATTTTCGCTAAAGTTCAAATTGATCGGTTTCTTCGTACGGGCAGCGTTGTTTTTAAGGACGCCTGTATTAAGGTGCATTGCTCTCAACCAACAACTCTTAATCTGGTGATCGACCCGGGTTCATGTTTTGGTATCTTGGGCTTAGCGGGAGTCGGTAAAAGTACTCTGTTAAAAGTTATTCGTGGCGAACTAAAGCTTGAATACGGAACTGTGTACGTTAACGGAGCGCCGAAGACTGACCCGGCAAAGATCGGTTATTTTAGTAAGCAAATAGAGGTTCCTCAAGAAATGCAATTAATTGAGCTGCTCCTGACTCATGCTGAACTGCATAGAATGCCTTACGCATTCAGGCAAAACAGCGTCGAAGCACTGGCTACCATATTCGGTGTAGCTGACCGCCTTCGCAGGTAAGAGGCAAGATATATTTTCAGTTTAATAGGTGCCCGCCAGTACAATTTCGAAACGTCCTAATTGTACCCTACTAAGAATTGTTTCTAGTGGATTTTACCCATCTAAAAATTGCAATTAAGATATTGCATTTTCCCAGTAAAATTATCATGCGTTGTGGCCCGCAGGAAGTCAGGTGAATCGTTAACTTAACCTACCAACAGGAAGATATGGTTCGTTCTGTGTTTTAGTGGCCCCATCATGTATAAGGCTGCCTCAAGCGAGTCCGGAAAATTTTAAAAAATGTATAACTTGTTGGAAAGTCGTACAGGTTTTAAAATAAAATGTGTCTCTAGTTACTTAAATTGGCTGGTAACGAATCAAGTTTCTAGAAACTTGTTGGTGAAAACCGGTTGAGTTCATTCCAAAAGAGATAAGTTCAGATGAAAAAATCTTGGTAACTTTGAAGAGCAACGTTCAATGGTCACAGCGCGACAAAAATTCAACGATGATTAGTGAAGATACTAAACAAGAAGGCTGTAAGTGAAAGTACCGTTCGTCAATGGCGCAGACGATCAAAGAGCTGAAACCATTCAGTAGATAATTAGACAACAGACGTCGGGACATGAAAAACGAGAACGCATTGGCGCAGTCGAACACGTTTTTTACGAACGCAGAGCCTCGAATCGAAAAGGAGATCCGTCCGCTAAAGCTGACGTTTTACACGTAACACGTTATAGAATTATAACACAGATAGTTGAGAGTGCTGAATAATATATAACCCAGACGCTTGAAAATAGTGACAAAAAATGAATTAGCTTCAAACCAGCTGGAAACGCGTATGGTGTGTTCCAGGTGCTATTTGCAAAACTCTAATTAACAAAGAACTAATCTGACGCACGCAGTCGCCATAGACAAGGCATGGCTCAGTCTCTTTCTACTGCCAGCCGGAGAGGGGCCAGGCAAGAAAATAACGTTCCCCTGGAGAGCAATCGAGTTCCATGGCAGTGTCAAGCAGGTTCGAACGTACTTTACGTTCGAACCTGCTGATGATAGAACTTGCAATGAGATGCTCGCTGCAAATAAAATAGGGAACGCAGCTCATTATCTCGAGTTTCTCAAGTGACTTAGGACTGCTGGCAAAACGATCTGGTACCTCAACGCAGTCTGGCTACTTGATGACAACCCCAGACCTCATCGCCGTGCTTAAATTACATTCTAGATTAAGCAAAGGACCATCGAACGTTAGCTTCAGGCCGTTCATTGCTTTGACCTAGACCTGTGTGATTATGAAGTTTTCCGTGCCTTAAAAAGGGCAGCTGGTAGGCAAGCATATCCCTCTGTCGATTTATTTCGAAATAGAGACATCCGAAATAGACGTAGAAATTACATGCGAGAACACGAATGATAGACATGTGACTCTTCGTAAGCTGCCAAGCGCCTGTGTGAAAAAAGTAAAGTACCGCTTACATATATTGAAATTATCCCTTTACTACCCCAACTAGTTCAAAAGGTAGCCGGTCATATTCGGTTGTAGCAGCTGAATAGTCTACTCAATTCAACTAAAGCGCCATAGATGGCTCAGAATAGTAATGCTTATGAGAAAAATGGGCTTAATGTAGTATAATGGTGTTGAATGAGAAATGAAGTGCCTAAATTGTAGAACAACCATTTGAGATGCAAGTGCTTCAAAAAAGGCGCAAGTAGGCGTTATGACGTAATTTCATTATCAAGGAGGACAGTTGACGTCGCAGCAGCATTAGGAAAAACTACGAAAAAATTAGTACGGATCGATGCTGGTACTTTTAACTAATAGATATTCAAGTAAGTGTTGAATAGGGCATAGCAGGAGCATAGCTTGCGTTTAATATAAATATAATGACAAGAGTTTATTAAGCACGTGAGTATTTGTGTGACTGGATAAAATTAATCATCGTTGTGTAGCTGGCTGATTCAAAGCTTTGCTTTTGTCATTTATTCGAAGATTCCCGTTCAAGCCGAGAAAATGCCTATGTATCGCTTGAAAATACGAACTTATCGAAATGCGTGTAAGAATTTTTTAAAAAGATGCTTTTTGTTAGTTGCTAGTTACTACTTACTTGCTCTGTTGCCAGTTTCTCTTTGAACTGTCTCATCCGGTATGAAATGAATGGGGTACTTAACAATTGTCATGAAGAAACACTTTATCGTATACACAGCACGATGTCTACGCTGACCAAAGGAGAAAGACGGCTCGTGGCTGTAATGTCGGCATTTGTGGGGAAACCACCCATTGTACTTCTCGACGAGCCGACGGCTGAGGTCGACCTGCAAACCAAAGAGGTCATCTGGAAAGCCATTTCAAACATAAGAGGCTACTGTGAGTGAGAAGGTCACTAAATTACTTGAAATTAGAAATTTTTTTTAGTCTGTGCGCGTATTCCTATCAAAGGAAATTTCATTAATATTGAGGCCTGTGTTGGCGATAAGGCACTCTAAACCAGGAGAGTTGGATCTGAAAGCAGAAAATCTCAAAATGTAGTCTATTTAAAATTTCGTCACTAAAAAAAAAAACAAATACTATCTTATATTCTGAATCAATGATCACTGATTTAAATTGAACTAGTACCAATGTACTCTCGGCGGTTTTAACTAGGCACGATCATTATTGCGACAAACACCTTGGACGACTTCGAGCACTTCTCCTTCGACAAGACAATTGTGATGGCTGATTTGGATGTGAAAATGATTCTGAAGTTCAAAGAATTGGAGGCACGCGTGTGTCGGGGGTACTCAATTACAATTAAAGTTCACCATTTATCTATAACAGGTAGGTCAAGCACAGCTACTTTCAGATTGTATAAACAACCAACTTTAAATGTCATCTATGCAGTTCGGGTCAGATACCAGGAGTGTGATGCTGTTCCTATTGGCAACATATATGCGCAGGATACTCCGACTGCTCGATTTCCTATTCGGCGAACACCGGATGCCGCTATTCGCCCAGCTCCGATAGAATTCATTTAGTAAATTATGAAGCTGTTTCATCCATCTTTTCTAGTTATTTCCATTTATTATATTCAGGTCGCAGCAGAGTGCGCCATCAAGCTTTTCACGCAGACACAAAGAATCGTCGCTCCCTTACGCGTTTATCGACGATAAACGAACATAATTGATTTGTTCTATGCTTCTAGATTCTCGCCGTCGTGAGTACGGGTTTGAAGTCGAGCGCCGGGAACGTATGCGTATGCGGGATTTGATAAAGCCCATTCGCAACTGGGTGCACCATCGATTGCCAAAAGCTGTACCTGTTGTTGATGCAGGTATTTACCATAGCACCACGTAACCCTGTGTACTGGCGTCATCATAATAATATCTAGCAGTACACTGTAGTTATATTCTATTCAATGGTAAAAGGAAAAAAACTAACACTGATCATGATTGCGCGTCTGTCTTACTTAGCCTTAAAGACACCTTAGTGGAACGCACGAAAGCTCGAGAAGTTGTTAGGGTCAGCGTTGTGTGATGAGACGGCCGGCTCACATTTAATGTGCAATGAGAATGGTTTGTCGGAAAGGTAAATGATCTGTGTTTGTTAATTGACAGGCGCCGTTCTCGAACTGCATATTATCGACGATTCTGTGGCCATGTCTGAATTGTTTTCGTTGAGGAACTTTATTTGTAAACAATTTAATTATATAAACGAGTTCCGCATCGCTCATCTTTCCAACCACGACAAGCTGCGTCACATTGTCGCCCGAGCAGGTACTAAACATTTGACGAATTCGTCATTTCTCGTATGATATCTTTAGATTAGGGAACAAACTTCATTCAGTTATAGTGAAGTCCGCCATTAAGCTATGATCTCAACATTGCTTTCAACTATACCTAATGAAAAAGGCGATTTTTTATCCTATAAAGAAACAACTTGTTCAAGGTTTTACGTTGATAATTTGAATTGAATCAGGATCGAATCTCTAGAAAAGCCTCATTCAACGTATCACATATATTACACGAAGTAGACGTTGCGCCAACTTTGTGACCGTTTTTGCTAGGGCGGGGCGTTATACACGTAACGCAAGGTCCGGTGCGAATGTTAAAGGCTGGAATACCGGGCCATCTCATTCAAGAACCATAAAGTGATCTGTGATGATTATCTACAACCAGTATCTACAAACGCACAGATGGCCTACAAAGTGCCAAAGGACCTGCAGCGTCTGCTGCCACAGTCAGCCTTCTAAGGTGTTCGTTCATATATATCGTGAGAGTAGCTACAATACAGAACTTAAATAAATAAATAATCTTAGCAACATTTTTTTTTTATTATACGATATGTAGCGTAAGCTATTGTCCATAATGACGTCATTTTTAGCAATGCAGACTAGTGTAGATCACAAGTCCTAGTTCTAGCTCTGCGATCAATGTTTGCTGAAGAGCTTAGGCAGACTTACTTAGAGACCTAATAACATTTGAGCGGACTTGAGTTCACTTTTCTGGTCAAAGCTACTACGTTCTTCAGCGTTTACGTAGAGCCGCGCGTGGATACAAATAAACAGTATATTAGTAGAATATATCTTGCGGGCGTGCCGAAAAGTGATCTTTTTAAAATCGGCTTTTAGAAACAACGCATCGGAACAGGTTGCCTAGTAATTGTCGAACAAAAAAGCAGCCTTTTTAAGTTTTCGTAAGTTCCGCCAATCGCCATATTCGCAAAAGCTGGCCTTTAGTAAAAACTTCCTACTCTCAGATTTTCTGATCGTATTCAGACCGAGTCGATAGGCCGCTTGTATGATATCCGCGGTTAACGCTAGCTCTCGAAACGTAACTTCTTGTTTCTTTGTCGTAGTAATACTAGCGTGCCAGAATAGAAGTTGGTATGCGTATTCAGCTTAACAGTCTTGGGTCTTAGTTACTTTGAGTCTCATTCTATAACTGTATGAAACAATGCTAAATTTGAAGTTGCATTTATTGGTGATCTCGATCTTTCATTGATGATAGGTCCGACACGCAGGAGAAATTTCCGCTTACTAGGGCGGCACTCTCGTTCTGTCTGATCTGGTAAGCGGGTCTATTGTCTCGGAGAAAACGAGAACTGGGCGGCAAAAGTGCTGTGTAAGTTTGGCATTCACAGCGAAATTATGCTGCTATAGATTTTCCATTTGTCTAGTAGAAACAATGGAAGTAAGACATGATGCCGGTGTGCCGGTACTCATTCGTTGGATAACATCAAAAGCCATCGAGAAGCTTTATCCCACTCATAGAATCAAACGGCTAAACTAGCATAATGCAATCATTCGATGATAACGGTTCAATTGAATCTAAAATTTTAACACTAAACGACCGCAAGGCGCATGCCCACCTCTAGGTAAGGAATTTCTTTGGCCTGGACTATGTTTGCGTAGTCTCACCGATATTTAATGTTGCGTAGTCTGGCCCTACAGAGCAAAAAACTAATTACAGACCTATGAAGCCAAAGCCATATTTTCTAAATGAAGTACCAGATTAGACGCGGGGTCGTAAGCGAAGACCCTGCTAACAGCTGAACTATGACGCTGGATATTTTATTCGCCTGAATTTGATACTGTCCTACTGTGACATCTTCGGTGGATTTATATATATATCTAGTCTATGCCTGACATTTAGCCTTGAATAACTGTACAGCAAAAGACATAGCAGCATATAAATATTCCATGTCCTATTTGCATTTTTAACGGCGCGTTAGACGGCTAACCTCTGGTACCGTTTTTCTTGTTCGCTGCAACATTCAAACTCAGGATGGATCTTTCTAGCATTATATCCTTTAGATGTTCAACCATTAATGAGCACCCGTTTAAATAGCGTGCACTAAGGATAAAACTAGGTTTAAAGCCGTATCAACGTAAAGGCTTGATCAACAGATGGTGGTCGCCTGTCAACCAGACACTGTTCCAGTTCAGACTGTTCGATGTTGGATCTGCTTTGCTGTGTCAGTGTCTCGCTTTTCACGGCAGTTTCTTTACAGAGAAAAGTATTTTGTTTTGGTCATCTACGTTTGAATAAAGTATGCCGCAGATTGGATCGCTAGAGGCAATAATGATGTCTCATGTATACTAGCAAGTCTGTGATTGATTTATTAGTCGACACTTACTGAAGTCATGACATTCGGAGCTGCTGTCGATTCGTAGTTTGACCTCACACAGATTGATAGTACTGAAACTATGAGGTGTATCGGGAAGGGGCAAAAAAAGAGGTACGTTGGGATAAAGCGGTGTAGTTTTACGATGTAAACAAAGTAATGATGGGGTTAGCAATTCAGAATCTATATCTGGGGATTCTTACAAAAGCCATTTAGTAAACACGAAGATTAGAAATTTTATTCAAAATAAAGTAAAGAAAATGTTTGCCTGCTTTCGTAATTTCGATTCTGTTCCCTAGCAAGTGTTTTATAAGCAGATCGTACAGAAGGGATTTAATGCTGTTTTTTTATTTTCAGCACGTATTTCAAAGATGTCGGGACTAATATTAGGAATGTATTCCAAGAACAAAACGTGGGACTTTGCACGCTGCGTGTTTTCATACAGGTCTATTTTAACAGGCTGAATCCTCGTTCAACGATCAGTCTGAGTACAAATTTATTACTAACGCTAAACACTGACATTATCGAAATTCGCTAATTTTACTACATAGTCAACTTTTGGTTGGCTTAACTACTAAAAGATGGAAAACGGCGATAAGACGGTTTGTGAGCGCGCTACTATACCTGTTCCAAGATAGTTATGGCAGCAGATGCTACATCATTTGGGTGTTTTGAGGCCATTCGTACCATGTGATTTTCCAAGCATCATTCTGAGATTTTTCCATATTATCGGTTTGTTGTAAATGCGTGAATTTGTAAGTCGCCGGCGAACAGTTCTTTGAGAGCTAGGGCAATTATTTCAGAATCCATGGAACTAAGATACGACTTTTAGGCGGCCCCGAAAGCGTAAGGCGGATGATTCTGGTTCGGGAATAAGCCTGTACGCATCGTCCCGTCAGGATCCATTAGAGATATCGGACCGTAACGTTCACAACAATTCCAAGTTTTATACGGCCAGACGGAGGTATAAAATTATGCACTAATTGCTCTTAATAAATTGTCGTCCTACCCAAATTTTTGTAGTTAGGTGAATAGTCGTCGACGAGCATAGTGATTACCGTGCTCTATATTAGAATATCTACATTAGAAACTCAAGCAATTGTCAACAACGAGTCACAGACATGCGGTACTTTTCCAAGCCTGTAGTGCAAAATCGTTTCCGTAGTTCCTTGCATAAATATATGTTTATTATTATAGCCATTTTAGAGAAAGTAGGAAAAAAAAAAGAAGTGAAATTTCTCACGCAAGTAAGATAATATTAGTGTGTAAGGAAAAAAAAATTGAAAAGAATCAGATGGCAGTACCCCTTGATTACTATCGTCAACATGACTCGAAGTCGGAATGGAGGATTTCCTACAGTTCAAGAAGCATTTCAGGATCGCTTTTGCCGGATGTTACAAGGTAAGCTTTCTAATAGATAGGCTCTTTTCTCTAGACCATCGAGATCGTTCTTTCATCAGGAACCTAAAGAAGGTATTACGAAGCTTTTGCGGATATTTTTATCGGATCTGTTACTCGGAAGCAGATGTTCGAATTCACTGGTGTGAGCCTTCAACTTTCTGAATGAAGTAGGCGACCTGAAACGTCGGCGTGCAGGTGTCGGCGTACGAGAATATTTAACAAGAAGAGCGCTCATATTTACAGCATTTACGAAAAGCAGATACCCGTATAGTACCGAAAGGCTATCACAAATAGGCAAATCAGTACTTTTTCTCTAAGCGAACGACCCGAGCAGGACGTTAAGTTACATGAAAGTTTTACGTTCAGTGAAAAATTAGAAGACCAGTTTTTGGAGTATTTTACTAGGATTTCCGTCGTAAATTGAAAAAAAAACAGCACCAACCGTACGTTAATATGCGAAGGTGTATTGTCATTGACAATTTTCGAACAATTTATTTTTGAAGTGGTCTTGCCTTTAAAGACCGGGTCCCAACTAAGCACAGTATCGGCGTGTTCCAGCCATCCGGACTTTACCTATCGGATAAGGGATATCGGAAACGAAGCACATCAATGATACACAAATTAGCTTGGAATAAACAGCGAGTCAAACAAATATATATACTTGAGTATATACAAATATATACTCTTATTGGAAACACAATGTAAATAGCACTTAAGTAGTTTTGCTTCAAATCAGGTTAAAACAAATACATCCATTGAAATGAGCTGTCAGAAAACATACTATATTTAAACATATATCCTCATTCGAAGGTACGGTGAAGTGGCCTATATTCCCAGAGGTCAACGTGAAAGAAATTCCAGTTTATATATATATATATATATGCTTGCCTACGATCACAGACTATGTGGAAGAAGTTTTTTCAAATATAAGAGTTTCGCAGAGTTATAAGTAAGTACTAAGGTAGAGCGCTAAGTAGCAAGCGCCAACAATGCCATCGGCCTTTGTCTAAGAGCGAAAGGTAAAGCGTACGCTTGAATTGCTATGGTCAGTGGTACGCGATACGTAACGACGTAACTGAATGTTAATTATCAGGTTATCTGGTTGAAACTTGAGCTTCTTTTCAAACTTGGTTTAAATTTGCGAAAGAACTGAAGAACAAGGCCAAGTTAGAACCGGTGGTGAGACGAACTTTCGTTTCCATATCTTAAATTATTCACTACACAGTAACAACCATCATTTTAATAATGAAAGAGTAAAAATGGATAGACTAATATCACGTGTGAGACAAATAGCTCCGTTTGGTTTCTATTCAAGATTGATCTAGTAACCAATAGATCCTAGCTTGGCCTGCTAATTTCGTAGACAACTGTGTTACCTCAAGAGCACCTGTCAAAGCTTGGGCGGTAAAGCCTTCAGAATCAGATCTTAGTTTTCAAACTAAATGGGTGCCGATAAATCCCTGAAGGTCCTGGCTATATTTTAGGCGAAAGTCCCGTATAACTCTTGTAGGTTGTAGGAAATGAGCTTTTCGTTTCTAACTTGAAAGAAAGAAACAGACCGTGCAGTGCGCGGTCTGCTTCTTTTAAGTAAATGTACCAGCAAATCTCATTAACTTCCGAGAAAGGACGAAAGATGGGGGTCAACTTTAGCTTTTGTTACTCCGTCACTCCACACGTTTCCATTACTAAGCAAAGCGTATAGCGCTGACTGTATATAAAAATATACAGTCAGCACTATTCACTAGCCAAATTAAGTTTGTCAAAAGCTCCTGTTTAGGCAGTTTAAATTAATTAAGCTGTTTAGACATCGAGCCACGATCTTAACGCTGAGAGATGGGCGAAAACAGCAGCAGAAAGCAGTCATTCATACGACATGTTCCATTTGCCGTTCTGCCGATAGAATAGATTTAGGTAAAGATCTGTAACTTTGTAAAACGGAAAACAATGTAGAAAATATGAACCTTGAGGACTAAGTATAAAGCAGGCCTCCTGCACCTATCATGCGATTATGCACAAACACTGTCTGGGAATTTAGTGCGATGGGCCCCGATGCGATGTATGAAAATAACTGATCGCCGGTTCAGACCCAAACTTCCCGCACCTAATTGATGCGTCTCTGAACTCTCATAACCCTCATCTACAACCTATGAAACAAGCACTTGGCTTTGACGATGTTGATATATACGGTAGCAGAAGGTCCGTGTCAAAACTATTGCGTTCGCGACATAGTAAACATTGAATTAGACTTCAAAGAGACCAGTGGGGCGCTAATCAGACTAGTAATTAAATCCGAAACGAATATTCAATTGGCTTGGCCATTAGGACGGGGGACCGTATGAACCTGATGAAATCAGTCTTCATTCTTAGCCGAATAATGCTTGTCTATGTTAGATTTATGTCACTTTTAGGTACGGCTTTAGCAAGACAGAGTCTTCCTTCTGCTTGGCCAAAGGCATGTCGTAGACGATGCGGCAAGTCAGATCAAAACAACTTAACAGCTACGGCTGGTTTTCTAGATTCTAGAAAAGTTATCACGTTGGAAGAAGCATGCCGTTGAAATAATTTTAGACACGTGCTGTAGGTATAATAAGTAATTTATTTATAAGTTGTATTGAAGTTATCATTTAAACTCTCAAGTTAACTCGCATACGTGGATTTAGTTGCTGTCTGTTGTGTCCGCACTTAGAATATTTGCACTAATCTCGTTTCATGAATTTATCTCTGAGGGAGACATCGGTCGGTAGAGTAAATTTATGACATACGCTTTCCAACTCTGCCTGTAAAGATGGCTATGCCAGACACGCCCTAGGACACACCGTTTAGTAATAACAAAATTCAAAAACGTTACGGACATGACAACCAGCTTCAGATATTTAACTGCCGCTGTCAAAGCTTTTTAGTTGGGAAAATGTTAGCTCATATAGCCCCGCTATTTTTTTACTTGCTGATTTAAGCTTTCCTAACGTTTCTGCCTGACGGCACAAAGATTCAACACTAAAGCAAATAACGAAAAATGTCACACAAACATTTTAAGGCCCACTTATTATAAGCGCTCTGTGCGTTTTTGTCGAGTTAGCTAACAATGACGATTTATACTACCTGTCTTATGAATTTACCTGTGAAGTTGACGCCTGCCTTCCCTGAGACATAAAAAGCTTGGATATTTTAACCCACACAGAGGTATGTATACTAAATGGTTGTATGTTACTAGAGAAGTGCAGTGTGCATAGAGGTTCCCTCCGTAATGGCAGAGGCTCACTGTAAATGAATAAGTAGTGATTTTTGCTTTACTGCCAATTTGATGATTTTAAGATTGAAGACGCAGCCCTAACTTCATAGCACCCTTCATGAAATAGATAATTCGTAATATGTCTTGCCCCAGTAGATTCTGCTGCATCAATTTATACCTTTGGAACAATACTACTAATAGAGTTGCTTGAAAAAAATTGTTATCTATGGCAAAAAAAAAACACTAGACGACATTTTTAGGTGCTATACTAGCAGATACGATAAGCCTATCAAGTATCACTCGTCACTGTTTCAGCTGAGTCGCCCATACGTTCTCATGAAGTTCTTGCTATAGAATTACCTGAATTTTCTTCCGTTTTCTACCCGAAATCGAAGCGCACACTGTTCTTGCATATGGATACCATTCACAAATTTTAAAAAATCGGGCAATGCAAAAAGTTGTTGAGCAGCTGGACGATGGTGCTCTAGTTAAATTAGTGAGTTTTTTTTATGCCAAGAACGTTTTGATTTAGGCTATCCCAAACCCACTCATTTTAGTTTCGCGTTTAATTCTAGATGCGGTTAAAAACAGCTCAGGACTTCAATACAGAAATGTTGTCTGAGTCTTTTTACTGATACGTCTGGCATTCATTGTCATTTATTTGGGCATTTTCGAGGCCTTATCAAAACGGCGTTTCGATAGGCGAACGCTTTCAGAAAGCGCGAGCATAAACTTCGATGAAAACTTGGTTTTCACTTAGCCGTTATTCAGATATAAAAAATTTTCCTTTTATTATTATTATTATTATTTACCTCCTGTTTAAAAAAAAAGAGACGTTTCTTGTTGCATTTGAATTAGTTGTGTCTGAGCGACTAATTTTTGCGATAGGTAGGTAGCTTATGTTAAGTTCGACTATTTTGAGATATTTTACCCTAATTTGGAATCGGGCTGCTGTGTTTCCATTATGAAAAGAAATCGAGGGCCCAATCAAGCCGAAAGACAACTTTAGGTTAGTACTTCAGATCCTCTCCAAAGCAAACGCCAAGTAACGAGAGCTTGTTTTGCACCTGCCAAATTTTCCAGACTCTGCTATAGAGAAAAAAAATGATCATTTACTGGGAAATGAAATCACCCGAAAGCGCTCTGGCTGAGTTCCTTAGTATTTTTGCATTTTCGAGGCCTTATCAAAACGGCGTTTCGATAGGAGCATTTTTGACGATAAGGAAGATTTATTTCTTCTACGGATAGGAGAAGGCCGTGGAAAGTAAAGGCGAATAGACACTTTGTTATTAGAATTTGGGTTAATATTGTTAAGAGAAATCTAAACTACTTTCTATCCAGTTTAATACTATATTTACACTACAGAAAATCTACGAACGTATGTTCTCTATAGGCTTTAAACTGCGTGTGGTGCAACACGAGGATAACAGAAAAATCATTTGTTTTTTCAGGTTAACAGTTACAACGGTCCTAAAAGCACTAAATTAATAAAGTTAGTACTGCGAGAAATCTTAGCGCGCGCCCTAAAACTTCTATTCTATAGATGAAATCTCGGTCAACATAGAAGAAGATTGGTGGCCTAGTAAATTTTATTTGGCAGAATGAATTACGTCTCGATTTTGGCTAAAAACTGCGCGTTATCTTTCTTTGCGTGCACAATAAAATGGCCTATCTCGGAACGCGGCTCATTGAGTGCGAGTAACCTGCTAGCCTTATCCATCCAAATTCGGACCTAAATAGCGATCGCTATTTATAGAGTGTGCTTATATAAAATGCTAAATATACCCTTTACGTGACATCGTTACGCTGAACTCAATCTAAATGCTCCCACCAAATATAGCATCATTGAACAATTTCAAAACACCGCACCGTCTTCGCTTCCCTGTCACTGCCATAGAAGCAACGTTGCTTTTATCTGCATTCGTGGCCTTGTGTTACGTAGAGTAAAACACGGGCGGTTAGCTTGGGATACAGCTCAACTGGCTAGGGATTTCACGGACACACATAACCCAGAACTAACCGATCGGGGCAGGAAGACTTTCAACGAGCTAAATAAGCTAGCACATAGATGCAATGTATATCATGCATTTGAAAAAAAACCAATAAACTAATGTGCCGTGCTTGTAATTAAATTTGAATGCTGACAAACGTTTACTATAGCACACCATTACCATTTCGTTCCACATGTTTGTAGAAGATGAACTAAGGCCACCAAAACCGATGAAAGGAAACGTGACGTATAGCAATGTGAGCCTGCAATTCGACGGGAAGTTAAAGTGGACCTAGTTATGCCGTAGGCTTCCTCGTCAATGACCCCCGTCCTAAATCTCACGCTTCAGTTTCGGGATGATGAACAGACACCGCAATTTCTTAGTGGAAAGTTAGCGAGTGATATCCTTGTTATATTCGTCGATCGATTTCAAGTTGCTGGGGTAGGGTGGTCTGCACTGATTTACCTTTTAATACATTAGGAAGTTTTTTGATTGTGCATTTCGGCTTGTTGTCATCAATAGAACTATTGTGGAAGTTGCACGGCCTTCAAAGTGGACGCTTTTTCGTCACGAACTGGCGAGTCGAAAGGCTACAGCGGACAGCAGGCGTCAAAAGGTGGCGGGAGAACATTTAGGCGAACGTGAACTTGAAACGCTGGGAATTGCGCAAAGAAGTTTGTGACGTAGTCCGCTCACGCGTAGTTACGCAAAATGATGAAACGAATGAAATTGAAATTGTGGAAATTATAAACGGACGGTACCAGTGATAATAATGATCATTCGTGTAATCCACTATATATAATTAGCTCTGTTTTGGGTCTCTATGCAGGTAAGCGGATTTTCTTCTCCGACCCGATCAAATAAGCTATGAAATGTTCAATCGATAATGGTAATCTGATTGAGATCAGTGATAACTGTACAGCAGTAATAATAATCCGAGTGATTGAACAGACAAAAAAATTGGCTTTATTTATCGGATTATGTACAAATTGTACCCAAATTGAATAGACGTTATTTGGAGAAACATCATAATTATTATTAATACAATGCTACTTGACTAATTAATTACAACTTTCTATCAAAGTAACTTGTTTTGCTACTGTACGTTCGATCTAAACGAGGCTTTGTTAAACATCGCATTTGCACCTTGTTCCTGCTTGAAACGTAACTTAGGACACACAACTTCTGCTCACTAATCAACACGTGCCTAAATTATAAAAGCAATAGTTTTGTTTGCATTTACAGTCTATCACGGTTTCCTTAGAATCCAGGCACACTATGGCCAGGCGCCTAGATCAGCAGTAGTAAACATATACGGTATCAAATATTAAGCTGAATAGTCTAGGAGGCTTGCCATTCCTATGCCGAAGAAAAACCAGTGACTACGTAACTAAGCCGATGAGATCTTAGTACCCCCTTTGTGTGTGTGTTCCTTTCCTAAAGCACTATCATTATTTTTACCTGCGAGCCCTCTCATTTTTGTATATTACCGATGATATAACAATAATGTCCAATTCATCCAAATTTGCCGAATTAAAAAAACACGTGTAAAAATACGAATTGCGTAAACAAGGACGCGTATTTTCATTAGATGCGTGCACAACGATAATTTCCAGTCATTCCGCAGAAACAATGAACCAATAGGAAGTGTTACTTTACGTTTTTCCTTTCTTACGACATATTAAGTTCCTATAGTAAACACGAAAATCTTAAGGCAAATTTAAAGGCCCTAATCGGTCCTATGACTTTTCGATGCTGTATTCAATAAAACATCACGCTATGCAAGACAAAGTAATGTTTTCACTTAGAAAACATATATGTGTAAAATAGAAAAAAAAAAATAACATCAATGACAATAGCCAACATATTGTCGCGACCATATGAACTAACAGTTTATTATTGTAATTCTCTTACTAGGAGAATTCTAGCTCCGTTTGTTTCCTATGTACAGTATTTCCTCGTTACGCCGTGGTCGTTATAATTACGTCCTCATAACCGCCACCGTTATCGTCGTCATATCAATTACTTCATTATCCTAATTATCATATCGTTTTGTTTTCAATAAACGTCAAAAGTTTGGTGTTATGTCCGTTTGCGTTGAATCAGTTTTTGGAGAAGGCCTGGTTCAGTATCGCATCATTTTCACCCGGCCGGCTGTCACTGTGCGCGCGCCCTACAAAACAGACTGTCGCCGTTTAAGCTATATGTATTCCACAGAGCCAAGTTGTTATCCGTTCAGATCAGGTCTGCGCTATTCGTCACTTTATAGCGTTTTTTTGCTCACGGCCTAGCTTACCATGTCACACTTCGGAACGGAGAAAATAATAACTTGTCGCTAGCTCATCATCGTACATCCACGTCAGCGATCTACTTTTCTCAAATACGATCAGAAACAACAAAACAAGAAACCTACAGGAAAGGCCTTAGACAGATATGAATGAACTAGTCCGGCAGAGTTAGGAGCCGCGATAGTTGAATATCTTGATCAGACTCACTGGTTATACTGAGAAGGCGGATATTAAGCAAATATACCCAACTACTATAAGAGATAAATCCTTTTTTCGGATATTATAATAGTAAATGATTGATATTAATATCGAAATATATACACATAGACTCTATGAGCTATCGGTAATTTCGGTGATACAATCAATGATTCATGGCTAGGGACACCACCTCTTCAATAGTCTGTGACCATGTACTAACAAGTAACATCATTGCTAGCTAACACTGTTTCTATGAAACTCATGTTGAGTTACCTTCTTTCTAAGTTCAATTGAAACTATAATCAAATTGATCGATTAAATATTTATCACTTACCGAAAAAAGCCCCTGTACAGTTAATTCATAGAATGATCCAAACACTGTTTGGCTTACTATTCGTATCGTACGAAACATATGCAACGAGGGCACCACGTATAATAAGACAAATTTCATACTAGTTTGGACGCCTACGTAATTATCGGTTGTTGCACCATATACTAATTGTAATTACGTAGTAATAACGATAATTAAATTACGCCTAACAATAACTTAATTCCTCATACCGTGTCCCGTGGTAACATAGACTACCCATGGTAGCAGTTGGAATCTAAACATTTATGGCAATAATAGTTATAATATTAGCAGTGAAATATAATAGAGATCTACGATTAGCGAATATTATAAGAGATCATTTGGTCCCATCGGGATTACGCTTCATAGTATGAGAATGGGTCGCCATTTCGTATAGGTCATCATTTCGAGAATACGTTACGTAAGTTTTCCCATATCTTTTTGCTCTATCGTGTACATGTTAGCCGTAGGAGTAATACCGATTACATCGATCTAGCCAATACGGCAGACACATATGTCAGTTAAAATATGTAAGCAAATAATTATACTAAAAATTTGATAGGCAGACAGGCAGGTTTTCTTTTATCCATAACAGATATCAAATCCCCATTATGTATTTGATAATTTTTCTGTCACCACCATTACCCTCTCCATTATCGTATAATATATATATGATTAATTATAGTGTGTCATCGATATCTCAGTCACTTTTCATTGACGCATAGCAGTTCAGATCTTCGTTTCTCATGGTTCTGCTCTTCATATAGCGAGTCCTCTGCTATTTCAATGACTCAGTTTACAGTCCGACTCCTTACTATGCTCCTTTTTGACCCAAACCCATCGCCCGCCTGTGCTTCACGGAGGGAAAGCTTTTTCTATCCGACACCGACCCAGTGCCTGTGTGTGTGTGCGCGCGCGCGCGCACGTGTGTGTTTGGGTGTACATGTTCTCATCAGCTTCGCGTCTATCGATGTGTTTCATACCTCGTCAGTTTTACCCTATCCGTTCCTGCTATTTATTGATACTTGTCATAGTAATAATAGCACCTTGCAGGTGCACATCAGGCAGCACTCGTTCGCATTTATGTCGCAATGCTCCCATACCCATATATGCCGTAATCTGGTTAAAATTAACCCAAAAACGAACAGGCGGTCTATTGTATTTCGAGGTGACAAATATGGATCGTCCATATTGCACCATCATCATCGGACTTTTCATGTCGTTTATTTTCATATTATCAATACATGTACATTTATGCATTTCACTGTGTTTCCTAGATGAGTGCCTCTACCTATATATTTATGTGTGCTTGTGAGTGTAAAACGTCTTCTTATAGTCTGTATCGTAAATTTGTCTTTACCATATAGCAAATAACATGACTATCATTACCCATAGTATTATCGCTATTACCTTTTCCGACTTTATATCATTTTGATTCTCTCTCACTCTCTCTCTCTCTCTCTCTCTCTCTCTAAAAAGCAGACAGCAGCACACGACAGCGACTAGAATAGGGCAACAATAATAAGCTAACGTTGATCCATAAGCGGTCTTTAACGGTTACTGACCTGTCGATGCCATCTTCTTAGATTGGTTTCCTCTGATGGCTCCGAGACATGTCCCATTGATGGCGGCAATTATCCGGCCATACTCTCTTAGCATAGCAGTTCCACATACATATAGTTATGTATATTTTTTTCTAGATTAACATAGCCATGTAATTTTCGGTGTATATTCATTGCGTTACTACTATTATCTTTCATACATATAATTTCCGTATATATGCTGCCGCCACGGACGTATCAGTAATGATAAGTTGCTAGATGGACAAATCGAAGCAATTTCTACGTTCGTTGAATACTTACGACCGCTACCTAAGTTACTTTGCAAATATCTATTACATTTATGTTAAATAAAGATATAGTGGTTGTACTCGTTCGTCCCCTCCACAGCAGTGACAACAAAATAACAACAATAAACTAAGTATTCGTTATTACTACTGTTAGTTCTGCGCTATCAGATCGACGTTTTCCATCCGGGGTCGTACAGCCCGCCCGCTTCCGGCATATGGATGCTATGTACACTATAGCTGTACCGTGGTAAGAAATAAGCGCAGCGTCTATGTGTCAGGCACGACAGGCTTGGAGTATTCCCGAATAACTTGATGATACATTGAAGACATTGCTATATAATTGATCAATAACACGAAGAGCTCCATGTGTCGTAAACGGTCCATGTAGTAGCTGAGTAACACTCCACCTCATCTTCCACTTAGCATAGCCTCACTCGTAAGTTGTAGCCTAACTAGCGAGCTATCGGTTCGGTAACGCCAGGCGTATTTGTTTCGCTTCCCTTCCGCTGATCCAGCCTTTCACAATTATTTATCATCACTGTTATTAATACGACCATCATTTGTGCACAGTAGCTTCAACCGATATTGACGATATATTATGTAAATGTATAGCTGTTCCTACTCGTAAATGATGCCATCTTGATATTCATTTTCCGTTCTGTGACCCATCTCATTTGCGATGATCGTGCATTATATGTATATTAGGCTGTTGAAAGAATATTGACCGTTTTCTTAGCGAAATTGATCCTAAGTCACGTGTTGTCGAGATTTGTGTTGAAATTGTTCGAACTCCTTCGCTCAGACTTAAGGCGAGGTGTTGTATAATGTTGCTACGACAAGCACAGGACATTGAGAACAAATAGGAAAGCCTATGAGAAATGATTCGGTGTTAGAAGAAAAGGCCCAAAAATGGCTCTGTCGCTCTCGTTCTGGACGTGTCGATGTGAGATATCATTTGAAGTGGTCAAGGAAATCCAAAAAAGAAACGGATAAAATTATTACGGAGGTTAAGCAAGACCGGCCCGTAGGTAGCCACGATATCGTCGAGGGACCGAAGGTCCATTCCAGACAATTTAAAGAAAAGCTGGCCCGATTTTTACGTACTACATGAAGCGGCGCAAGAGAATCTAAGACGGATGCCAAAGGAGGCTGTGTTTTGTCATTTGGTGTAAATGAAAAGAAATCGCGCTTATGAATCGATGCCGCCTAGTAAAACGCTTGATTCGAACTCGCTACTGCCAGATTACACCCAAGAGAACACAAAAATGATCCAGAAACAATAAACAAGGAAGGCGTGCCTTCCACCACGACGATGCCAAACCACACATACACCCTTAACAAGCACCAGCCAAAATCTGGTACATATTGGATGAAAAAATTTCAATGCATCACATTTTACATCACCAGACTATCAACATCTGCTTCGGTTTCTGCAGAATTCTCTTAATGGTACACTTCATTTCAATGGAGGGATGCAAAAATCACCCGGAAATAACGAAACTTCTACAGTGATGGCAATATGACGTTATCAGGGAGATGGCGTCGTTCCAAATGGCGTATATTTAGCTGATGATACATCTAAGAAAATACTTTTATTTCGCTTTAAAAACGATCAGTATTTCTCCGACAACCCCCTAGGATATACGGTGTTGTTGTGTCGCTGGAGGGGTTGGGATGCGTTTTTACTCGCGTGCTAATTCCATACTTCGATAATAATAGATCAAGTGCAGTATTTCTCTCACTGTTACTTATCGTAATATCATCCAATACATCACATGAACTCTTTGAAGTATGTTTTTAAATACTCTGTCATCCGGCTAAACATTTGAGACCTTTCGTGTATTTTCGCTTTTCATGACACGGCTTTGTCTTAATCTTCATCCTATCGCAGTAAACGTATTCACAGGGCCAATAAGACATGTGCACATATATCTATATATAGATGTTGTTCTCTGAATCTCTGACACTCTGAGGCCACCAGCGGTAGCGACTATTGTAGTGTTGCGGAAATATGTTTCTTCAGCGAACGGCCTGTTCGTCCGTATTTGTATGTCTCTTGATCTTTTCGCACGAATCGAGTGTACCCTTGGTTTTGAAGACCCGATGGGGTAATCTTTGTCGTCTATGTTAGGCAGTGGTCTTTCAACTGCGTCTCGATTTTTTAACGATTTCCGGTCAATCAGTTGTCTGAAGGTTGTCCACTAAGAAATGCTACGCTGTAAATGTTCTGAAGCAGTGGCTGCGCTCGCGCCGGTAATTGCGTACGTTTCTGTACATCTGAGAAGTAATTTTTCGCTTGTTTGTCATTGAGCTGCAACGTTCCTAAGAAGGTTCTGTTAGGACCGGGAGCAGAAGATCCGTGAGGGGTCTATTGCTCCAAATTGAAAAAAGATTAAGGTTTGGGTTTAGTAGAGTATAGAACTGACTGTTTGAACGATTATGAGATTAATGATAGATCTTTTTTCTTGTTTTTGTTTCTTGGGGATCTTTTTTTCGGCGACGCACTGGCAGACTTATCCATTACGGTTACGTTTTAGAACGCTAGTTGTCGCAAACACGTTGAACAAGAACGGAGCTTTGGCGTGTCGCATTCAACTAGAGACCATATATTTTATAACTATAGACCATATTATATTTTGATTTATGAATCAATCATATATAATAATTAATAATCCTTCAAATTCTATCGTTGCTAAAAAAAAGTTGCTATCGGTCACATAAGAAAATGTTAACTTAGGGACACGATGGTTGATGGCAAGACTGGAGCCAATTACCCCATTAGCACAATCATTCGTTTTGTCTTTTGCTTCATGAATAGGTGGATCTGGTGATATGTGTATAACAACAAGTAGCCAATGGTGACAGCTAGTTGAGTAAGCGAAAAGGAGTTAAGCAATCCGCTGTGACTGTTATACTTAGTATCTTAGCAATGGCCAAGTTCGATAGATGGGGGCTGGAATAATGGGAGCAGATACTGCCAGTGGTTAGATCCACTCTCGCTTCGTTGTTTCTCGACAGTTCAAGCTGGCTATAGTTCCTTCTGGCTTTCCTATAATATATTGAGATCATGCTCGTAACTCTGCCGACGCAGCGGCCGAATAACCTTTTTCATCCCTCTTATCTTCCTGTCTGCCCTCGTGCTACCTTTTGCTGAGTAAGGTACTAGGACGTACATGCGGACTATGTGTTAGCTACTAAATACTATCTTGTTCTGATGGGATCCTTGTCGATGCTACGATGGGCAATAGATGATTTGCGGAGGCGCGATACTATGTGCAGTACTATTGAAATACTAAATATTCTTATTATGAATATACCTACTGTATTGTATATATTGGGGCGTGTAAATGACATGGGCGTGCTTAGCGCTAGCTCGCTTTCCCTTCATTCACTTGTAGACGCTTTGGGCGCCATCGGCCGTACAATTAATTAGGCTGAAAATAGGTAAGTGATCGTTAACAGCCCTTTGTCAGCATTCGTATAGAGAAAGAAGAAAAATTCGTAGAGGGAAAAATTTCTACAAACGTGTTTGCCAAAAATCAAAATCAAGATTTCCATGGCAATTTGTCGTAATCTATTTGTTGGCCGTATTGGCACGAGCAACTTCTCTGAAGTTTAAGTGACACAACTTATATAAACACGTAGTGTTGCTCGTCTTCGTACATATTTAACCTGTGAAGATCGAACAGTTGCTAAATGAATTCATCACTAATAGTACAACAACTGTTTATTCAACGACCGAAGCGCTATGCACTGGCTCTGCTTACTGGTCTAGACCCAATACGATCAAATGGTCTCGCTTGATTACCATTGACACAGGAAAAAATAACAGTCGTAAGTGTAAGTAGCTGAGCAGAGAGTCAAGGTACGCTGTATGTCGTTACCCAGCCGCCGGTAACCCATCGGAAACGACGACGACACTTCGCGCTTCGTACGGTTAAAGTCTGAAACCCCGTTTTGAAATAAGCGTTCTATATCTGATTGAAAATAGCAGCGTCTACAGTGATAAGTTCAGCGAAAACCTCGATGGTTTGTACCGATACAAGAGGAACTTTCAGCAACCGCAAAAGTGATCTGTTCCAGTGAGCTGCGTTGTGCCTTGCGAAACGCACTGACTGGGTGGGGTTCGCCCAAGTCTAGATCTTCTATGAAACACTGTCAAGTTCCGCAGCGTTTGTAAAAGAAACCATTTTAAACAGGATGTAATTAATATATAGAATTCAATTAAATTGCCACAGAGTGAGGTGTGCTTGAAAGTTACACTCCTCTTGTATTGCCGCTCTCAATATAGCGTAAAGAAATAAAATTTTAGCTTCAGCGCGTCTTTTCAAGAACTCTTACCTCAAGCGATAAGAGTAAAGGTTTCCGTTAAAAAAAAAAAAAAGAAAAAAAAAACCTGACGAATTTAAGCCTGAACAAGGTACAATTTTTTATAGTCCTTATATTATATGCAGTTACCCTATTGGTGCTTGGCTGCTCCAGGTTTTCCTGAACAAGTAATTGGGATGAGGTGTCTGTTCCAAAAGGAGGCGTAATAGAGAAGCTGATCAGGGGAATGATTTGCTTACATATCACTTTCAGATTCTGTACAGGTATTGTAGCCATGTTGAGTTATTTAACCCAACTTTATATGTCACTAAAAGTGTTCTAATGTCCTGATAAGTATAATGTTAATTTATAATACTTTTGCTTGCTATATTATTATCGTCTTCACAATACGAACAATAACAGCAGCGTAATCATTAGTACCACTGAAAGTAGCTAATCACCGTATTTTAGGGGGGTCTGCAATGATGTGAGTTCGCAGAACTTCATTTTATTTATGGCTGTTTAATGCTTCCCACCCTCCAGTCAACCCTTTTCTGCATGTCCGCTACGGCGTACCATTCGAAATCCCTCTCGGCCCCCTCTGCATAGTTTATGATGGAAAAAAAAATCTCAAAAGGGGTGGAAAAACGATCTGCGTCTTTGACGTGTGTTGTATTTCGCGTTTTACGAGATACATAATAAGTTGTAATAGGTTCTCAGTAGCAAATGGGTTTTTCGTTAAGTGGAAATGCAAAAAAATATACTGCTCAACTCAACATTGCACAGCAATAGTCTTCTGCGAGCGTGCCCTGTTGTGGGCAAGCTAAGTTTACTTTTGCGCCGTTCAATTATGTAAGTGTTGGCAAATTGCTAATGCGTTGTAAGAGTTTTGAAGTCCGACTAATGCCTGAAAACGTGGCCAGCTAAACTGGTACCCGAGCGTCTTGTTTCATCGAGCCTATTTTCTTTTTATATGTAACCTCACATAGTAACGCTACCTAGCCGGACGAGACAAACCACTCAATAATAGGTGTCGTCATCGCCGTTCTTGATCGTTTCGCTTCGCCTGGGTATTCTTCGATTTCAATGATGATACACTGGGTGCGTATAGACACGTTACTACAGCCGCATTCTCCTGTGTTTTTTCCTGTATGTGTGTATGGGTGACGTTGTGTTTCATTACTATTTTTAGCGAGAAATAGCATTTACTTAGCCATCGGAACTGACGATACGTGATTACTTCTTAGGTTTTTTTAGACGTTTTCATGGTTACTTTGTTAGATCCGTAACGGAAATCGTCGTTTACGCTTCCGTCTGTATTTGCTGTGCCGTCGTCTCCTGTCCTTTCACTTCCTCGTCCTTTCAAATAGTATTTGTATAATGAAATTGTTTGGTTGCAGGTCGGTGGCTTCACTACGGGTCCTCGGGATCAATCTCGGTGCAGGATCGCTAGCCACTGCCTTGCCAGACATCCTTTCACAGTTAGACGATAGAATACAGGCGTCTAATTCAAAGCTACGCAAAGCACTTTACCCCTGCATCCGTTTCGATTACTCGGTTGCCAACAACAACAACAACACCGTCGGGTCTTTGGTCGGTACTGAATTGTAACGTTTTCACTGTGTTAGTTAGTCGCAGCCAAGGTCAGTAGCAGGCACAAATGGAACCTGATCTCCTCAATGGTGATGCTTATGGGAGGCTCCGCCTTTATCCCCTCCTCGATGCTCTGTTGAGAGCGATGTCACCGAGGGCCCATCTGCGGCGAAAGCCCCTTCCATAGACGCCGTCGACTCCTCGGGGGTCTTCGACACCTGTAACAGCAGCAGCAGCAGCAGCAGCAGCAGCAGCGGAACAATAATGAGATAGAAAGAAAAAAAAAAATGTAATCTTCTTTGCTTACTATGAAGTTGGCCAAACGCCAGATATGTCGAACGTGCCTGCAAGGATAGTAAGTACGTATGCATAGTCGTACCTAAATAGAAAGGTACCTGGAATTTAATTACTCGATCGTTCTCACAAGTAATGGCCAACAAAGGTCAACATTATATGTACAGTGTTATTTGTTACGCTATTGCTGGTTCATATATTGGTTTTCATTCTGGGATATAAGGATGAACGACTTCGATCAAGTAGTTGTTTACTATTCTCTGTATAATTCTTTGACGATGCCTGGTCCATAGTGTGGTGCTAATACCTCGGTGGTCTCCGGCAGGTTGGGAGGGTTGTGATGTCCGTGCTGTCGGTAGTCTGAGGTGCCACTGGCTGACGCCATAGCGGAATGCTGCTGGTTTTGTTGATTATTATGCTTGTGTCTGTGATGGAAGGGTTGTAGGGAGAACCTTCTGTGGGTTGCTTTACGTCCGCCGCGCCTCTTGCTAATGTGCGGGTTATCGCGCCGCATCGACTTATTACGGAGAACCTACGACGTACGGCAAATTTTAAAATGGTCGATAAGAACATAGCGCATTTAGTTTAATTCTTCACATGTCTCAAGATCTCATCTATAGGGGGTCGCCGTCGTCAAAAATCGCTAACCACAGGCCGTTTTCACTAGGCAACCAATTACATTTAATAGTATACGACTTCCTAAAACTTTATAATTTTACTGTTGATTTTAGATAATTATTCTGCAAATATCAAGACAAAAGATGTTTTTTTGCTTAATAGAGATAATCACATACATACAACAAAGAAAAACAATCCGATCTGTTGTATAACGAACCTCAAGTTGGGTATATGCTCTCCGTAGTTCAGTCCGAATTTCTTCAGGGTCCATATCCGCAAGCGATATCTCGGCGATATCCAGTTCGCCATTGCCAACTATCGCCTTTAAAGCAAACAACAAATTGTGTGGCATATTAGAGCTTTTTACCACTTAACCCGGCTTTTGTTGCAAGAGAAACCCATCACGATTGATGGCATCATATTGAATTGTATTTACACGCCTATTAGGTTCACGCTTAACCCGCCCATCGTGGCGACTTATTAGGTTTAGCGTGTTCCTCCATCTGATACGTATTGTTAATACATGGAATTACTTCAATCATGCCTTTTGCTTGTAATTTAAAATAGCTACCCCTTCTGTAAGCCTACTGCAGGAACTTTGACGTTGTAAGGTTTCCGGTGGGGTAACAAATAATGTAAACTCATATGATTTATTATGACGAGCTAATCACATACCTGATGTAGTCTTTGTGCCGGATCCAGACAGGACTCATTCGAGACCGCTGTGCCGGACTGATTTGCACCCGTGGTCCTGACCCCTTTGGTGTTTGCACTTCTTGCAGCTGCCCCACGACGGTGGCAGAGCTTTGGCAAAAATATCAATATAAGCACCTGTAAGCCAAGTCAGAAGATTTGCCGTCTGAGCATTCATCTACGTTGTTGACCGTGACCAAATCTAGACTACATTCTATCTAATTGTATACCTTATCGCAATAAAGTATTCACTAATGTGAAGATATTCGCGTTTCTTTACCCTAACTACACGAACACTTGTTGGCACACATATTTCTTGATATAATCAGCCTACCAAGGTGACGGTCAGATGACATCTGATAAAATAGGCAAGGAACACATAATCGGGCTGAATCCCGTCGGGCACTGTATGCTTAAGGATGTACAGCGGAAATGAAAATGCCGCTTCAATTGAGATGGCGCGAGATAGCCCCTTTGCCTCCGGAAATGACTGCGCATTTCGCAGACGGAAGGCCAGACGCATCGAGAGGCCGAGGAAAAGTATCTCGGCACATTCTGTCACGAAATCCCACACCAATGGACGGCACATGAGGAACCGAAGACCTAAAAGCAAAAAGGATTGCGTGTTAGACACTTGTCTCTACTTTGATGCAAATGATAATTGATTTTGTATTCGTCATGCCTATTTCTATTCATATTCATCGTTTGCTATCGGACTGTCTCATAGGTCCAGAACAGCTTCATTCAATTCTATGTAGATGATTTAATTCATCGTTCCGGAGTGTGCAAATCGGCCTTATTCTAGGTAAGCAGGACATTGCTCCTGTAACTCGCCGAACGGTCGCGATGTTTTTCCTAATTAAAGCTACTGCTAAATTAACTGTTTCTGTAATTTAGACGTACGATATCTGTATAAATTCGAAAAACAATACTAAATAACATTGTTGTCCGTAAGTCGTTTCGACACTTTGAATCCTAAAAGGCCGTAACCTAATGATAAAAAATCTAAGGTTTAAGAAACTTGCTTAGATTGTAAATAGCCTGACTTTTTAATTTCTCATTATATTGTAAACCTAAATTATATTGTAACCAGTATGAAAAATATACATCTTAATTTAATAATAATTAATAAAATATTAGTGACATTTGGTGCCTCTAAGGTGCAGGTACACTTGAAGCTTTTAAAGGTTGATGTTCAAGAGGTTAAAGGTTGAAAGTACAAGAGAGAGAGAGCATAACTGCAATTTTAGTATTCCTTGCAGAAAGGACCCATGAAGAACGACCGAGCACGTTGTTCGTCGGATCAATGTTTGGACAACTTATCATACAAGCAGGATAATCGGTAACCTGTTAGATGTCTATACGGTGTATAGTAATCGATTACGATGTCATGAAAGTTTTCTCTCAAACTGTGAGGAAGTGACGGTTTGTAGAAAACCGGATTGTCTTGCAAGTTACAGTGCAACTTGTGTGTAATTGCAGCAGGATCCAATGTTCAATTGTTACGCTCTTCAAAAAGGACAAATAATATACTTCAATGACTAGGAATTGTCTACTTTCAGCTGAAATCGTGCTGTTCTAACTACAAGGGACTGCGCGTTAGATTGGTGAGCACCGCAGCGTTTCTTTGGTATCTGAGGATCTGATAATTGTCATAAGATCTGACAGCAAAACTTTTCCCACATGTACAAGCAAATATTTACCCTGCGGGCTCGTGGAATTGACTAAGATGTCTTGCGCGTTCCCGCCGCCCGAGTCCACGACCATCGCCGTCCACGCCGCCATATATAGCGCCACCGATAGCACTAGCCCTACGAGATATCTGTCATAATGAATAGATTTGAATTGTTAGGTGACGATTTAAATAACCTCATAGCCACAGTGTTATCGTAGCAGATGATTTTTATAAGTTGCGAAAAACACTTTCAAATGCAAGTAATCGTCTGTAACTCGCGCCAATAAGTTCTTGTGTTTATGCCTCTCTTTACTGAACTCTTTACTTTGGCTGGAAGTCTTTAGCTTGTCAACTGAGCACTATTTAGTAATTACGTTCTAAGTTAAGTTATGAATTCAAAAAATAAATTTAGTAACTAATGAAACCGAGTAATGCATTCTGCTTTAAGCGCTCATAACACTTTGAAACTACGGCAAATCGCAAAGTTAGACATAAAGCTTCCGGTATTGATAAGTATAGTGATAAATTGCCTCTAATAGATTTCTATTACACGAGCAAAGCTGCGATTTCCTTGTCATGATTAGGACTCTGATCTCTAGGAAGTGGTAGTGATAATTTTACCCAAAGCTGAGGAATAGTTATTGATCGAGAAATACAAATGATACGACTCAAGAGAAATACGCCTGCTCGTCAAATTATGACCCTTAAATTAAGCATATTTGTGGGGTATTCTTATACATCCTTAATGAGCTCGGAGCACGAACGCGAGTAAGACTCCGAACTTATTTGCTAAGGCTCTACAGCCCTCTGCAATCGTCTGTGTCTAAACATGTATGTCCTAAAGTGGATAAGATTGCGTCGTAACGCTCGAGTTATAGTTGTTAGATTAGTAGTACTTATAGGGACGGAACATAGCCGTTTGATCACTATTGCCCCGGTATGACCAATCATTTAAGAGAATTTCTCAGCACAAAATTTCAGAAGGAAAGATAGAAAAACTTGTACGTTTCCAAAGCGGCTCTCCAATAAGCTTTGTTTCATTGCATGGCACGTTCCTATGTTAAATCTTCATAGCATCAGCCAGCTTGAAAGTTGCCATGAATAATACTGCCGGGGTACACATTTGCAACTTGTCCAAACAGCATTTGTCTCAAAGGTAAGTTCCCTCAAATCCTATTGTAAGTTAGAGGTTGCACAGCCTGCCATCGGCGCAACTGGGGATAAATTTGAGGCTACATTAAATCTACTTTCGAAAAAAAAATGGCATATTTCAAAATTGCGTCGAAACGATACCCTTCTGTAGTACTGACACGGATCAAATCTACCTAACTAGTGAAAGGAAACTTGTGACAATTTCGTGAAAAATCGCTTACGCTAGCTCAACGCAAATGTATATGGACGATTCATTATGACGATTATTAACCGTCCTTACATACCTAAAGCGTAATCATACCAGGAACTTAGCAGGTATTACAAGTTCATCTTATTTTTCGCGCAAGTTATCTAATTTGTAGGCTGAAATCAAATCGAACGTTTTCGTGCATTGACCGACGACCACGTGGTTGAAGCTCTTTAAAGGTCGCGGTGAAAGTTCTTAACAAAGAAGTTTCATTTGTGACAGATACTATGTTCCGCAGGCGACCCTGCATACGTTCAAATGGTACAGAGCTACGTGGAAATTGTTCTGAGGATTGCTTGTGCACGCCTTATATCATGTTGTAACAAAGCGTTGATTTTTTTCATCTACAAATACGCAGCAATTCATTCGAGTCGAAGTGCCAAATTAATCTCTATTCATTTAATTATTTCCTTTTGCCAGAGGTTTTCAGGTTTGTTGATTTAGAATTGGTCTACCCAAGTGTTAAGACCCCCTCCACTGCCAACATACGTCTGCAGATTTGACTTGTAAGTAATTGTGAAAAGCAGCAACGTTTAGAGAATATGAGAGAACAAAAGGAAAAGTTCAAGCAAAAGAAGCTCTCATCCAAGCTTCTACAGGGCGAGTTTCACAGATTTTGCCGTCTGCATCCTGGGGAAGGACAGCTTTGGCCTATCCATTGGTCCTTTTTTGTCGAGTAACCTGTTTCGCTCGACGCAGTTCGGCCGAATACGAACCCTTGTTCCTTTCAAGCATCTTCTAGGGCTAGCCATTACGTTCTTTGCTTTGTACCGTGCAGACACCACTTCTAGCCGCCGGTAACAATTCCGTATAGAATCTTATCATTGTAACTGTGTGTTTCCCTATGCCGAACGAAATGTTGAGGGTTAATAAGAAGTTTCGTCTTGATATGCGCTTCTCCCAGTCCGAGTTTTTGATTTCTAGCAAAACTACACATGAGCGTCGAAAATGTCTAAATGTTCCGAGTTTTATCAGACCATTCTGTTGGACGATCCAAAATGTCTGACATGAAATGGCATTGTATCCGTAGTTTACTAGTTAATAAAAGTTAGCGGCTATTCAGGATCTTCGTCGACTTCAAAGATTCCGTCTTTGAACTTGGCCTTTTAGCAGTCTCTTCAATCATACTACACAAATAGTTCAGGTTGCCTCGGCAGCTTTTTATCGCGGTTAAAGGCACGATGCGGTACGTGAAAAATACACTGAAATTTTTGTCCTTAACACTTAAACAGGGCATAGCATTTCATTCACTGCACAAGGAAATTAGAGTTTTGTTTTCCAGAAGAAAGAGGGTACGTTTGAATTGTATGTAGAGTTGAGCAAACAGAAGAAGACACTAAAAAGCGATCGAAATTAACTTCCCAGAATGAAATACAAAAGCGGTTTGCTTAATTTAGATCACACGATTACGATACTATTTTGTGGCGGTTTGTGACAAACTTTTCACAGAGAGTTAAGTGTCCATCTGGAAATTACTGGAATATTTCTAGTACCACGTACTTGACTCTCATTTGTATACGATGTCGCTAGTTTTTGCTTTTAGGGTACTGCCATAAGATCATTGAGTTTCTTACGTGCGATTAGTGTTTTAAAAATGTCTCAATTCTATTAGGGACACTCCTAACCTAGGTTCTTGTTTGAAATGCCGACTGTATCGTATTTGCAGAATCTGGTTCTGAACGAGAATATTAAATGTCTTGAAAACGCTGAGCGAATATCGTGGCCTGCATTGGCCGAAAAAGGTCACATGGCAAAAAAGCCTTTTCAGTGATCGTTGCTATGAGTTAAAACCTTAAGTCTATCACAATACGATAATAGCCTGAAATGCTAAACGCTGAATCTGAATAATGGAGGGCCTTTGTCTACACAGCCGATACAGGCATTTGTGTCGTTAGCAAGATTCAAGGTGGACGCTGTATACCTATTGTGTCCAAACGGTACAATTATTTAACTGATCCTATCGATATTTACTATGGATGAAATCAGCAGGTTATGTTAAGTAATACAAACCTTAAAAGATCTTTGCTACGAACGCAAACCCTGTGCGCTTTCCTGGTCTGGAACTCTGCGACAATCCTATAGATTTTGAGGACGATGGCTCCATAAAGAGTCGCAAAGCCGAGTTCCCGAAGCCACGGTTCGAGAATGCAGCTTGTTGCCGATGGTTCGAAATAACGACACATGATCTAGAAATAGTAAAGAATAGTAGTGCAGACGCTATTGACCGGCACAATCTAAATGAAAGATACTTCCCTCAAGTAAAAAATTGAACGAATATTTAAGTGTAATATTCGATAATAACTGAAGTAAAAAGGTCAATGTTTGTCTCTCAGTATTAGTTTTACAGCCTCGTCTTCGTTGAATCACACAGACGCCATCTTGTCTAGAGGGTTCGTCGCTTCACTAGATTAGTGCCAATGTAAATGCTAGAAGAAGCTCCTTTCTTTGCCCAGTTGATGTTCCCGCGTTTCAAAAACGAAGTTTGTCTCTAAAGTGGAGATACATTTCTAAAGATACGTTTTACAGATAATTTACCCTACATAATTATTAGGTGGTCTCAGCAAACTAGACAGGCGTACTTTATTGGAGCTGCGTAACATGCCATGGATGGTTCGTGTCCACGGATCAGTGACACGTAAATTTGCCGACAGGTAGTAAAGCTTTGTTTCAATAATGCGAGACAATTTCCCAGGTTGCATTGTGTTCAACCTTAAAGCTAACGCTGAAATATATCAGAATTTTCATATTACTCGTATGTATGTAAAATATGTTTAGCCATAATTTGAACTGCTAGCTTATTTTGATGGTTATCTTTTTCTCGTTCTAAGAGCGATTCTAAACTGATTCAATATATAAATATATATATATATAATTACGCAAATAATGCAGCCTTTCTGCCGTTTCTAACATAGATTCTCTCTTAACTACCAAAAAACGGCTCGTAAACAAAATTCGTTCACAACTTTTCGAACAAACACGCATTTCATGTACTGAACTTTATTTATACTGTGCAATTGTAGCCAAATGCTTTTGTGGCCACTCACTGCTAATAGGACCCTTCAGCATAACTGCGCCTATTTCTAAAGACGCTTATATTTAATATTAAATAATAGCATAGCACGCTAAAAAAATGTTTCGAGGTCTACGTCCGATATTCCCGTTAAACATTGCTTCAGATGGCCAGCTTCCAGCACGAAACAAGGCATGTCTACCGTCGGTGTCGGATCTCAAGAACTACGTGTCTCTAGCTTTAATAGGCAAACGCGTTACTAATGCGTTGTTTTACTATTCCCTTACCGACACGTAGATAAGTAGCGCCCCTAAACAGATTGCCTCGAGAAGTATCCACATGCTTGCCGCAAACTGCCGGTTTTTTCGAAGTTTGTAGATAATGAACATCATTATGAGAACCAAAAAACCGCACACCAGTTGAGTGATGAGCAGGCCCCCTGCAAGAGACCGAACGAAAAAAAAGCCCCCGTGATAGATCTAAATGGTTAAAGGACAAATACGTGGAATGAACAATACAAACACAGCGAAACGCCAAACAAATGGAATATTAGTATAATACCTGAAGACCTCCAGCGGCAGACTTAGCCTCCTTAGGGCTGCGAAAAAGCGAGAGTCGTTTCAGCTCCAACGTGGATAAAACTTCTCAACTCCTTTGGTCTCCCTTAAGCCTCTCTACAGGTCGCCCAGCGGCCTGCCTTTCAAACCCCTATTGTTTCTTTGTCCCATCTGCCCTATTTTCTACGTCTACCATATCCCCAGAGCCTTCTGAATCCCAGAATTCCTTGCCTTTGGCTAACTGGTTGTTCGTCGGTGAGCCTCTAAAGAGAGCTTTCCCCAGTAGGCCCGTGTCTGCATCGTACTGCCACCACGACCGGCAAGTCGCCATTATTCACCTACCCGGCTGGGCACTCTCCAGTGTTCAGGCCGACTCTAACCTCCTGCCTCCAGCAGGCTCATCGGATTGATGAATGAGCCGACGTCGCTTGGCAAACTATTGCAGATGATTCGGGTCGTTCGTTGATGTAGGGGAGAAAGTGCGGGTGTGCGATAGGAAAGAAAGAAAGTTGCTGGAGCAGCAGCAGCAGTAGCTCTAGCAGTAGAGCTATATATTTGGCCCAAATCGAGTGTCCCTCCTTGGTTTTTTGTGTCCTCACTTAGATCTCCTCCTTCGTCGACCAATCATTCTGTCTCATCGCTTCCTTTCCGGTGCAGCTGAAAACCGGTTGACCCTGCTGCGACTCCTTGCCTCTATACCTCGAAAGCCTCTTGCAGTACCTCACTCTGGCCCCTAAAGTATCCAATTTTCCCTTTTCATCTCCCCGATTGTTCGTCCCCTACGATGAGTTCTCTTTGGCGAAGGAAACGAGTATAGGTCTACCTTGCCCAATCAGATATCCACCCGCATGCTTTACGTCCAGGTTCCAGCCAGGCCTCCTACGCTGCGTGGCTCTCGGTCCGCTTTCTGTATCGTCTGCCTCACGTGGCCGGCCCTCAACTTGCCCGCTTTCTTCTTAGTCTCATACATTATCGCAGTACATTTCAGAAAACTTATCATCATATGTTGACCTCGTGTTATGCTGGCACATTTACACTTCAACTTATAGAAGTCACATTGCCGTGAAACGATGTCTAAACCGATTCAGAGTGCAATTCTTGTGAAATGAATGTACACCCTTTAACGGTAAGCGAAAGGTATACATATACGTATTTCGAATAAATTTAGTAATGTCTAGTACCAGACATTGCATCTAAAGTATGCATACAATTAGCAGTTACCTCGAAGTGTTGTGTTTGCCTCGACGAAACAAGGGACCTCATCTTCACAGGTCGTACATCCCAAAGGGCATGGAAGGCATCTCAGCTGCGCGACGTTTGTCCTCTCCTATAGTAAAAAAAAGTGTTTAGTATTATTCATTTATATATAATAAGGTAAGCATAAAAATACTTTTATAACCAAAGGTTGGTGCTAGTGAAAGGCGGACAATCATTCTCTTATCCGGGATTCATACTGCGTTGACTTAAAGCTCAGGACTGGGGGGCTCTTACAGGACACCCCATCATCTGTGAGAGGCCAGCGGCGATCTTACTGTGAACCATCCATTGCGAGTAAAGCGCATGGCGTGGCCCAACCGCTCCCATGTCGTCGTCGTCGTGGTCTTTTTACCTCTCATGGTCTCGTTGCGCTCGTCCATGCGGCAGTTCTGTTCACTTTTCACTACACTAGATTCTTCTACATGGTTTCGACCCATAGTAAGTTCCATGGCCAAGTTATCCAGAGCCCGAACATAAGTTTGTCAATTCATATCCCAGCATTGCAGCCGTAGCAGCCCATTTTACTTGCCACTATAGCTCCATAGCAAAAGCAGTCGAACCTTATGTTAGCTCCCAGTGCTACCTCGGCGCCTTAGTTGTCTTCGCTCACGAGCATCCCCTCAACGGCTCTGGTTGTCTGTCTTCACTGAAGCAGATACCTATATGCACTGCTCAATTTCTTCTGCCTCTGCGTTGGCTTTCTGCCTTAGGTATATACACGGAATTCTTTTAGGCATACCCTTGTTTATGCGTGTAACCGGCCGGCTAAGCGGGGAAAAAAAGGTATAAGCTGCAGATAACAATTAAATTGGGAAAATGGCAATGAGTGAAAAAGATTACGCTTCCAGTCTTTGTTTGCTGCACCGATTTTCGGATTCAACTGATACGCCAGTCAGCCTTCGACTTATTTCTCTGACCAAGCCTTGTGCAAAAAAAGGCCACATTTAGCCTTAGTTACTCTTTAGCTGGTAATTTAAGCAAATGTAGCGTTCTTTTTGTGCTAGCCATCTGAGGTACAGCTATAAACGTTGTTTCCGGGAACTAAGGACTTTCGATCACATTGTAACAGGTTTTTCTTTCTTCGAACGAAAACGAACACAGCCCTCTTTACAAATACACTTATTTCCGAAAGGGAGTCAATTCTTTAGCGTAACCGAGTTACGGGGTTTCTACCCACTTACACAAAAAGGATAGGTTGAGAATTGCTGCTCCTCCGAATTTTCTGATATCGTATGCGGCTCTGGAATCAAAGAGGGACTTTGAATTTGCATAGAGTGGCGGCCTAAAACGTCGACCTGGCGGATCTCTAACCAGCAATGCATTGAAACACTGCTTTCGTGAGTCGCATTTGTGGCGGACAATTTCGATAAAATATATGGATCAAAAACTTCTGACTGAGAAGTGTCGAAACCCCATCATTTGATTTACGATACACGAGAGAGATACGACCCGTATCTATCCTGAACGAAAACACATTATTTTGACTTTCTCTATTGCTCACTCCGGCATAACGTTTAGAAAATACTGTACGATAAAAAGCGTTGCCTGCATTCTAGGATTTTTAGCCTTTTCAAAACAGAATCGTTTATTATATTTTACCATAGTTTTTATGGTAGCGGCGGGCAGGAACGGTGTTTGACAGTGAAGAATGAGAAAGAAGTGACAGAACGATTGGATCGTGATTTCCACCTACAATAAGAATTGTAGTTTTACATTGGGTAGATTACATTTACATGGATTCGCCCTTGAGAGTAACCACCGCTTCGACATGGGCGGGTCTGTTATGAGACTGTCGAATGAAGCACCCTTTCCATCGTTATGCTTGTCGTATCGGCCCGATTTCAATATTTTCCCGAGTGTGATAGTAATATTTCTGTCTCTTTTAAGAAACATATTAAGGAGAAGCACGCATGTCTATACGCGGAGCTTTCAAGCTCTAATTGTGTCTCGTACCAGATGTGCCTGCTCGCCACCGCAATGCGTTCATTTTATGCATGACGGATACTTTTCCACCTAATTTCCATTTGCTAAAGCTATTCTACATATCTTTGTTGCTCTGTAGGTGATGTCGAACTTACCGGCTCCGTAATATTCATGCTCCTCTCGAGGAAGTCCATCTCAGCCGCGTGGCCGCTAATTAACTGTTCCGTGTCAAAGAGACTTGGAGGCAGGTAGTAACCTTCTCTACAACGGCAGCGATAATTACCCCGTCTGAATCCTTTGTCGGCTATAAAGTCGCACTATTGAGCAATCAAGTATAAAAATATCCACATTAGACCATTACTAAGCAACAGTAAATAATCTTATTGGAGATGCGAACGGACAACCCTTTGTCACTAACTAGAGACGACCCGCTCGAGAAATAATCTAAGGCAACATATATTTGTTATAACGATCTTCTATATATGTATACTTTGCATATATGTAACCATAATTCTTCAGTCTTACAAAGCTGTGGGAAAAATAGCATTCTACTCATGAAACTACAAATGTACTCCCTCCGCACCCCGACCGCGACTGGTAAGACTCGCAACTTCAGACAACAAAAATAAATAGGCGACAGTCATTACGTCGAAGCAAGTATTTAAAATTTAAAGTACTGATTAAGCAATATGGTTGTGCTTAATATACAGATTTTATCGCCAAGTACCGTTGTTGTGGCAGAATCGCAATGGTGTGTATCAGAGAAAAATGGGTCATCCCCACCGCACTGGTTAATGTCATGTCGATTCAGGTTGATGCTGATCGTAGCCACTCCGAGTAGCCGCCTTAGATTGTCTTCTTCAACTGGCAAGCCTGTCGTATCATTGTTGTTATTGTCGCCGTTGTTGTTGTTGCTGTTGCTGTTGTCGTCGTCGTCGTCGTCGTTGTTACTGTTATTTTTGTTGTTGTTCCCACGGCCAATGCGGCCAGCTTCGCCTATCTGCGAGCTATTTTCGGTTGTCGCTATAATGATGGGCGCCGCATAGGTTATTAGCCAATAGTTACTGAAGCCGCAGTCAAAGTACGGTGAACTCCACGTGCCAGCCGGGTGCTTGATACGAGAATACGTAGCATCCCAGCGCTTCACTAAGTCGCGATACCACCTGTAGATAAATGAATGAACGGACAGATGGCCTACACGGAATAAAAATAGAAATCGCTAACGGCGAATATTGATGAGAAACGTAAGACGTCGTTGTCGCGTTACATTATCGCCATTAACCTATCGGTTAGATGACGTTAGGAACACCGTGTTACTTCTGTAGCCTTTTATGTTTGTATGCATGTATATGTGCGTTTGTCTGTGAGTCTCGAGCTGTGCTTCTTCGAGCAGCATCGAATTAAAACCGCCAGTCGCGCCATGAATCCCTCGGACCATCTTTGGATTGAGGTGAGGCAGCGAACCCCTTTATATCAGTCGGTGTGTGGTATTTGGGTACGTTTCGGGATTCCAAAAAGGTTTCACGGGGCAACATATTTGGAAATCTGTTGGCTTTTCTTCCCATGTCCCTAAATCTTCTTAATATCCCCAACCAGCCTCCATCCGTTCTCTTTCTTATTGCATCGGATGCACAGGCTACTGGCAGCTACCGCTATAACTTTTTGCAGATGCACATGTGCACTACAACACTGTGTTTTGCACCCGACTAACAATTGCCGCCTACCGTTCATAAACATAGTATATATTAGTGCCAGAGGGCCTGATCTTATATGGTTCACAGAATCTTGCTTCTGCTGTAGTGGGGACTCGACAGCGTGTCAGGAAAGCGCTAATCTTTTGGCTCAGGAACTCAAGAAATTGGTTGCCAACAACCGATTCTTAAACGTGCTTTGCTAAACGCCCATAGGCCACGGAAGGGGACAGGCCATTAAAATGAGCATTAAAAGTATCGCTTTATTTACAGCAAGAGCTAACTAGCGGAACAATAACCTTAAAAGTTAAAGGAAAGACTTTCTATCGAGAGACTGACTTTTCAACACAGCTGTCAACGGATAAGGAGGACTTCTTCCTGCTTAGGTAAGCGGGCGGCAAGCTGTAGAAGAAGGTCTCGCGTTTGAACAGAGCTTATCGCTATCTGTCGCGACACTTGCAAACTTTAGGCAGGGAGGATTGATGAACCCCCATGGCTTAGGTCAAATCTTAGCAGCTAAAAGTCTATTCTCAGAAAGTTTTCGTGATGACACATCATATAACCCGTTGCCAAGTTATGCGAGAGAAGAATTACGGTACTTGAGAAAAAGAAGTTCGCAATCGAAGCAGAAGTAGCAGAAAAATAGGTTAACCGTCATTTCTACGAGAAACATCTACAGAGATGTTAATTTCTTTTATTATGTTTATCTCTCGCTAAATTGAAGCATACAGAAATTTGATCGAGGGTTCTCTGTCATTGTTGATTACTATGTTAATATGGATCGTCTTAAATTGTTTGCATTTCCTTGAAGACAATTTCTAGTTATTATAGCGCACACAATTTTTAACAACGAGTACGAACGCCTGGTTTCCCAGATGTATCACACGCGATAATCCACTCATTACTTTGCCAACTTCTTAGTAAAAGCTATATAATAGGAACGAATTTGACAAGGTATTGAGGAAGACATAACTGTTGTTAAATGGGGCAATGTAATTAAATTAGCAAACATATTATATGATAACTTAAACAAATGTTACAATATGCTAGCTGTAGAGAATTATGTGACATAAATGTTTATGTTAAACAGATTTATATTTATGACAAGGCTTTACTTGCACGCTAAAGTATTTATTTTGTTCGACGAAGCGAAGGCCGGGGTACACTGACGTGGCAAATAATAATTCCTACTAATGGATATTAACGATTGGTAACGACGACGCTACATTAGACGGTATTTCGAAAAAAAAAAAACTTAGCGTCTTACATATCAACATAAGATTTCTCAAAACATCCATGAACTCAATCATTTTGGACGTCCTTCCTAGGTATTTCTTCTCCATTCTCTCAGGTTTTGTACCTTGTAGATGCTCCTTTTGTATGAATGTTACTTAATAGGTATGCATGCAAAAGTATAATCAAAAGACCGCTACTTTTAGAGATTTCATACCGAGTCGATCAGATTAAACTATACTGGAGCATCTGCTGATTGAACGCGAGTGATTTGTTTCGCTGATCGCATTATGTAGAATGTCCCAAGTATCCTCTAGTTTGTCGAAACTCAATGTTGTTTTGCAGCATTGAAAATCATGTTCGTTCTGCTATTTGTAGGGTTTTTTTTGATGCTCCGATATTCATTTGCGCATCATCTTCACTGCTTGTTACTTGTAGTAGCAAGTGGCTTCCTGACCTTTGGAAAACGGTTTAGCACACTACGGTTGTGCCTTTTCTGATTACCTATGCTACCCCGTGACCACTGAATCGCATCAGATTGTTCAGAAAATAATGCTGGTTCTTATTTACGTTTGGCTTATATATTCCCGTATTTAATTTGCCAATAGCCAAGCGTTATATATAGCTAGAAGAAAAACTAAGTATGCATACAATAACGCGCAGCAATTCTCGCTGAGAGGAAAGCTGAGTTCATAGTGCCATCTGCCCCTTCTTTTATTTAGAATACTATGAAGGCCTTCCGTCTCGATTTCGTTTGTTTTTTTTTTTAATCGCATTGAATAACATATCCTATAATGGCTATATTAGAAGGCTTTTTTTTTCTACAGCAAAAATACTAACATCGACGTCGAGATCTAAAACCTAGAACTGATACACCGGACGTAAAATACGACTTGCGATAACGCTACTAAAGGAAACCGAAATAGCACTTTCGTGCTTGTCTCCACTTCAGTGTATCACATGAACAAAAAATTTAAGCGCGGCATTTATCAGAGTATCTTTAGATGGGCTTTTTGTTCTGGGTTTGCCGATCTAACAAGCTATAACCTAATACTGAATATGCCAATATTCCTACTACTTACATGTTTTTTTTAAGCATACGGACCTGCTCTTTAAGACGTTCTCGTCCGAATCATAGCTGTAATTGGCGTGGTACTGTACGTGATGTCCCCTACCTAACTGGTAGGCGTACATGTTGACTCCTCGTTCTTCGATCACGATGCCAGACCCCACAATCATTCGACCTAGAACAAAAATGGATAGGTATAAATGACAGTTGACTTATGGACAGCCGACGCAGCCTATATGGCTCGGTACCTACGACAGACAGATACGGATACAATAACGTACATTTGAGTAATATAGGACCTCATCTAGGCACGAATTTATTCCCACACTCAGGATGATCATAAATGTGTGTATTTATATAGAATTTGCATGTTCACGGCTTTGCCACTAACTATATATTCCTTCTAACTATATACTTACTAACTATATATAGTCTTCTGAACGTTCTTTTGTCTTGTATTTTGAGAAAATTTGTAGGATATGAAAATTACACATTGGCGAATATAACCGTCCCCATGCGAGCCACGCGCTGTTACTGCATTTATTTGGGAATGCAGAATACTGAGTGGAAGCGAAACACTTTTACAAATATATAAATATGATATTTAGGGTAACGTTCCTTCGTAGTCAAGGGATCACTCTGGGCAAGTTTTTTATTCTAATTATACACGCCAGCGATCGCAAAAATCCGTACATACAGCCTAAATAGTAGTCTACGTGATTAGAGCATAACGTTTATTTGAATCGCACATAAAACCTCGATGCTTTGAGTACTACGTCCGGCATCGCCGGTAGGTGGCTGGCTCCTAGTACGAAATAAACCATGTGTTTATATCCGGATTCGAACCTAGATCACCCTGTTCTAGTCTACAACTGTGTAACCTATCATTGCGAGATTGGGCCTTAAGTGAATATTTATTAGTACGCGTTAAATAAATATAAAGCATTGCATTACTGGACTAGACCTTGAAGAAGTTCAGAGATCTGTTGCTTAAAATACCGCCAATGACGCATACCACTCAACCTGCATGAACAAAAAAAGTCGATTTATTGGTAATAATTGTACACACGGAAGACTTGTACCCTAACACATGCTAAATACGAATGACTATTACAATACCTATCTACGACTGCTTGACGATCGTGACTTCAAGCATGGTTATTCTATGCCAGCTCATGCTTCAATCTTTATATGTCTTCTATGTAGATTCACTTCTCTTTAGTACGCTGAGCTAGAGCTATTCCTAATCAGTAGTCGTTTTGATCTTGTCTGCTTAGTTCTTCTTTCATTAGGAGACGCAGACGAGGTGCTGCAACGTACGACCCATAACGATAATACATTTAATCACGGTCAGAACACTTACCGCTGGCAAAATTTCCCTTTCTACCAACCAGTTAGGTCAACTCTGCCCAGGACCTAGTCCGTAGTCTAACACGTTTGTGTAGCTGACGGCTGGGGTCCGTCAGACTGTCGTGCAATCATAAACGAAGGAGGAGAATTTATGATCGATTATTTAACAGCCATCCAAGGAGATGTGGGACACATCAGATATTTGCAATTGCTACCGTTTCGCACAGCCCAACGATCCGGCTGCTCTGCGAAGCTAACGGAGACGAAATTGGGTGAAAGAGAGCTATATCAATGTAAAATGCATCAAGATGTTATTGCTGCTTGACCACAGTTACGTGCCAGTGCTTGTTCTCTTTCAGCCCACTATTTCAAGACGCCAGGCGACAGGTCGACGCTACAGTCACCCCGAGCACAACGTAGCTTGTAAAGCCAACTTAACAGGTCTGCGAACTGGGAAGAACCAACACCCAGTGAGGCCGGCCGACCGGCCCACTGGCCGGAGGCTTAATCGGTTAAAAAGTAAGGCTGGCTCATTGACTAGCACTCAATGTTAGCATCACGGCGTGGGACAGATTCGACGCAGATAGCGTAGGAAAACGGCGGAATATGGCGCGTGTATGTCGGGAAAAGAATAAAAGAAAGACACCTATATGAATGAGTTGTCTTAGGTGATTCGAGCAGGACAAATTGACGAATAAGCAACCGGTCCGATTTAATCGAAGGTAACAACCTGTCACATCATAAGCCGCGTTACTTCCCTTCGCTGCAAGAAAGAGATTTCTACATTGAAAAAAATCGTGCTTCGTGGTCTGGAGGAAGTACAGAACTGAGTACATCCGTCAGTGAAGTAACACAGCAGAGCGTTCTAATTAAGCTTCGTTGTTGATGAAGTAACTTTGACGCTTCAACTGAAGTTAAACCGAGTAGCAGGGTGTAGTTAGGCCGTTTGTGTGCTTTGCGATGAAGGTTGTTTTAGTATATCCGTTTAGATCTCTTGAGAAAGGAGCATTTTGCACAGCTCTATGAAGCTTTAACTTTGTTAATTCCAAATCCAAGCTATGTCAGTCTTAAGATTTTGGAAAGAGTGGTTTGTAGTAATTGCAGTTTGTTTTTTTCGAAAAGTGATGAACATAGTCATATATTAGGGTAGAAAACGTCTACACCCTATGAGGCTTAGAATCTTTTCTGTCACTTCACGACACCAAACATAGACTGTTGATAGATATGTAAACAATTAAAGATTTGTTATCCCGTAGCTACGAGGAGCTTCAACTGCAATTTATGGGGTGCATCATTTGGATATGGAGCTTAATTAAAAGCGAACTTATTATTCCTGCGGTGATACGTTTAATAAAACGTGCGAAGATTCATTTATTTATTTCAGCGGTTATTTCAGCTTACCATGTCTTTTAATACTGTCTAGGGATTGCGGTCTGTGTAAATATTTAGTGCAAGAGCATATACAACGAGTATACTCCCGCCCTATTGAGATACTATAATGTACATATTATACATTTATATATTTATACGAACAAGGCTCTTTTTTCTCGATTGGTTTGCCTGTGAACGATAGAATGGCACGGAGTGGAGGCGGGAGCTGAGCGGCTTCTACGGTGCATGTATGTTTGTTGGCGCTAGGCTCACAGGAAAATGTCCCGTCGGGAAAAAGAACCGCCATTAGGGATCGGAGACCAGCCGTTCGAAGGGAGTTACTCTGGTGGGTGACATAGAAAAGAAACGCTCAGAACTAAAACTGGCCCCGGCCTTGACTCCCTTTAAAGGTATTATAATGGGCTGCTGTTATTAATATTATTCTTAAGACGAATTTACCTGTGTATCGCCATCTGTCGGAAGTAACGTTTCTTAAATCCTATCGAGTGAAATCGAAATTTAGCAGAAACAGAAAAATAAAACCGGACTCATTTCAGTCATGTTTTCTCCTTCTTGCTTTCGTACTCTTGTTTAGTATGTAAAGCTCTTTTTGGTTCCTGTCTTCATTTCATGTTGACAGATAGGCTATCGATAGAAAGCAAGAAGGGTCGACGGGGAAACGAAGCCATATTTAGTGAACGGTACGTGCACAGCGCTTTAGTCTTCATTTTCATTGCAATTTAATACTCAGCAGGCGCCATTTTCGAATCTATATGAAAGTTTCTCAAACTTAAAAACACATAAGGCGTGTGCATTGTCTGGTGCAAAGTAGGATCCTGCTATTTTTGTAGTACTTCACAAGCGGAGACTGACTCACCATCATTGGAGTCGACGAGATTGGCACTGATGAGGGCCCCGTAAACGACACGTAAGCTGGGTTGATCGTCGTGACTGTCACGGTCCTTTGGGTGTAGGTGCTTAGATACGGACTTCTGGAAGAAGCGGGCCAAAAAATCCGCCGTGCGTTGCGCTATTCCTTCAGCTCGTTCAAATATCTGGTACCTGCAGGGTGGAAAAAGGTCCGCAAGGTAAATTGGAATGTAGAAAAACGCACGTAGAAGAAGCAAGTGGAAGAGACAGAGCATTAGGATACGTACGTGCCGGGCAGAAGTGTGTTACATATAGTAGGAATGGTAAGCGAGAACCCATTCTACGAGTCCCTGTATCTAGGACAAAGAGGGACGCTGTAGATACAATGACACTGTGTACGTTCTAGTCGTATTACCGTACTAGTCATATCATAGCTGGGGATTCGTCAATGCTTGTGTCGCTGTACGATATATATCGTTCGTTATGCTGGGCTACGTGGCTAGAAACCAAATTATTTTTTGTCTCCCGATACAATCTACGAACACAACCTCCATAATTAATCAGCTACTACATGTGCTCTTGCTTTCCTGTGTATACTTACAACAAAAGAAAAACTCTATTATAATTTAATGAAATGTTTAGAACTATCAAACAGCGACGACTAACGTTGCTGCTTACGGTGCCAATAAAATTGTGCTACTCACACAGAAACTGTGAAAGATAAATAAATGTCATTTGTTCTTCAAGCTAGCACCGTATGTTCCGCGCAAAATCCATTCGACTGCAGAAAGCGGAGTCTGTTTCAGGTCCAAGTTCCAACAACCGTCAGGCATCTTTGCATCGTTTAGATTGATCGAGATTGCGAGCGATAGTAGCGTAACTCTAACACGGACCAATGCAGTTATACGTGGTTGACTCAAACGAAACGAGTTCGGCCCACGCAAGAGAAAGAAATGACCCGACCGAGCAAGCATCGAATCTGGCTGGTTAAAAGCAAAAGAACGGACCATTGCTGCTGCTGTTGGCCGAGAAAATCGGCAGAACATGTAAAAGCTGCTGCGCTCTGTCCACTGCCGCATTGGAACTACAGTAGAACAGCAAGCAGAAGAGAATTGAGACGCATTGGGGATACAAAGACAGGAATCCCATGGAACAAGATGAAATCGAAAAAGGAACGGGAAAGGGAAAAAGTGGTGAAAAAAGCTTCAGAAAGAAGGTCGGAAAGAAGACTGACCGAAAGTTGGAAGAAAATGGAGAAGGTGCCAGAACAGAGGGATCCAGGAAAGCGAGTCCGGAAGGGCTACTCGGGAGAATGTACCGACTCTGAATGAGGAGAAGAAGTAAAATTTCAGTTCGTTCGTTCGATGCCGCGTTCACACGGGAATAGCACAATTTCGAATAACCTGCATTCCTCTAGGTTGTCCATGGGATCCACCATGCTGAGCCGGTTTAGCTCAGTGGTCAGTAGGTCGACTGTGTCCTGTTTTTTTGCGCTGTTCGACGAAGTAACGGAGCCAAAGAAAGACGAGGACATGATGGTCATAACTGCGACAGAAGGGAACTGCTTTCTAATGGAGTCGTTACAACCTACCCTATGACGTGCCATTCATTCTAACAGCTTTATTCTTTTCTTATGTTTCTCTCGCTTTCCCTAGGCCGGCTAGACTGCGCTGGATACCTTAGGGTGCAAGTGCGTGACGAATAGATAAAAACTATCGATGGTCGTCGTCCTATCAAGTTAAGGTAACGTCAACGCCGAAGTGACGTCGGCGGGGCGTCATAACGGTGTGTTGATAGAGTCGAGACACGCAGTTTTAGCCACAATCACCTGGTTTGGTACCAGCAATAGAAACCGCGGCAATAGAGGCTGCTTCTACTGTCGCCATTGGAATGACCAAAGTCAAAGGAGGGGGCATCCGTAGCGGCAAACGCTTGTGCGGCAGTCTCGTAAGTGAGCAGAACATCGAAGGAGGCACTGTTCAGCTCTAATGTAATTATATCTCTACAGCTAGCAGTAGTAGTGGTAGTAGTAGTAGTAGTAGTAGTAATAGTAGTAGTAGTAGTAGTAGTGGTGGTAGTAGTAGTAGTGGTAGTAGCAGTAGTAGTAGTAGCAGTAGTGGTAGTAGTAGTAGTAGTAGTAGTAGTAGTAGTAGTAGTAGTAGTAGTAGTAGTAGTAGTGGTAGTAATAGTAGTAGTAGTAGCAGTAGTAGTAGTGGTGGTACCACTAGTCGTAATGCTCGTGTGCTTTGTCGCCTGCAACATGGGCAGACATGCGATCTACCAAAAGTGGGACATACAGAGGTACCATCGTCGGTCTCGGCTGCATGGCTCAAGTGGCGACTTTGGTTAGCGGTTCTGGTCACAGCGACGACGGCAAGTGGCAGTTGACGGCTATAAGCGGGCTGAGGTAGACCAACATGCGGAAGTTGTTCAGGCGTAGTGGCATAGTTTTTCCTGTCCAATAAAGGGCAGCGGTTGGAGCCAGTTAGAAGGGCCAACGGCAGCAGCAGCAGCATTCACTAAGGCGTAAGAGAAAAACTTAGTAAGCTAGCGGACAGCGAACCATACGGGAAAGTAAACTTGGGCGATTTGGAGCTTGTGGCGTATTGTAGGATATCGCAGAGGGTCTAAAAGGCCAGGAAAGGTAGGAAAATAGGATGGATGGAAAGAAAGGAATTGGTGAAAATGTTGCTGTTGCGCATGGCCTATCTCTATTTGCGGCGACGGCTGTGCACCTGCCACCTTTGCTGTTGCTGTTATCGCGGTCGCCATCAACATCAACATAGTTTGCTTCGGTCCCTGCTGTTCATGCAAAACCCTCAAACTGATCAGCGGTGCGGCCAGCTCCGTGACGCGGGTAGCGACCAAGGCAACAAAACAGAGCAACACGGTAACAACAGACATATCAGAAGCAGTACGAAGAAAACACAGAAAAAAACAACCACATATGTAACTCAACATGAGGGAAGATTTTGCAACGAGACAAGACTCACTCAAGAAAGGGAAAGAATATTTGAAGGAGAGTTCCGACCCTAAAGAACTTTATCCACATTTCTGCGAAGGCAGCAGCAGTGGTGGTTGTCTGGATGGATTGTAGAACGTAGTGGATGTGCAAAGTTGAAACGACAGAAAAAATACAAGACAAGAAGAAGTCTTCAAAGTTCAACGCAGTAGGGCGCGCCAACTTCGAAATTAAGGTGCGTTTACATACAGCATAGACGTGCGTGGCGAAAAAAAAAAACAAAACGTGGGCCTGCTATTTTTAGCGAAAAGGCAGCAGAAAGAAAAGCTGAACGATAAAGCCTCCGTTGCACTTGTGCCAAAGCAAAGGGTGGAGTGCAATAAGATTCTAGCCGGAGCTATACAAAATTTTACGGTGAGAGAAGAGATAAAGTACGGAAAACATTGAAAAACTGAACCAATCGGGCAAAGTCTAGTAGATGCATTTGTGACCAAAAAAGAAACGCTGCATACACAAACAAAAAAGGTTCCATTTCCGGACAAAGCAAATGATAAGAGAAAATACCTACCGAAAGGTTTTTCGGGCGGAAAATCACAAAGAAAAACTATTACTAAAAGGGAAATATTTGTTTTCTAACTAAACGGAAAGGATTCATTTTCTGACACCGCTATTATAGCGTCGGAGCTGCTCTAAATTCAAATGAAAGAAGTATAAGGCATGGGGAAAGAACGCGTACTCTTCGATTCTCGTTTGATTCCCGATAACTTCGATTTGTTGCTATGAAGCATTTTTCTGCTTGTCTCATTGAATCAAACGTCTGCTCAATCTTCAAGGATCTACGTATTCCTATTTTCTGGTGGAATTGCCCGTCGTATATAAGTGTGACCAAATAGTATTATTATTGTTGTTATTATAAACTTGTAGTAGAAACTAACTTCGAGTTGACGATGTGGCCCGCGTGATCCCTTTCGAGTGTAAGTTTAATACCAAATGGCGTGAGATTGGCCCGATGGCACGACTCCTGCTTCCGGTTCCATTTGTCGTGCGCTTCTTCGATGTATTGCAGAGCCGCCGAGGTATTCTGTCGCTGATTCAAGAACCGGACTACCTGGAGTGTTGCACACGTACACAGGTCAAAGAAAATTTAGCTTCAATTTAGTGAACATTTATATAGTATTTTAAGTATAATTACTTGCAACAAGTGAGAATGACAGATGTCCCCTTTCTACTGTCACCTTGCTTATCGAGTGTCGTCCGTTGTCTGATTGCAGTTTTCATTAATTAAATATAAACAGCATTTCTTAGAAACTGTGCAGTCTGTAAGAGCACTATTCAAAAACTGGAAATCTGCTCATGTTTACTTAGTATCAAACACAACTATCGCTAAATAAATTATTTGCAGACTGTACATCATTGAGCGTCGTGAAGATTCAAAGCAGGAAAACACTATTCGTTACGGGGTGACGTCGTTGAGAACTTTAACAATTCGATCAGTAACTTCCAGTTAACCGGTACATGAACTAAGATTGAGCTGCGTTTTTAATGCGAAGTCTACGTATAGAGCAGCACAAAATGATAAAAGCGGCGTAACAGACGTAACGTTCGCTACAGCAATCCAATACAATGACGGTAATCCCGCATGATCTCACAAGTTCCTGCAGCCCGTTGTTTTCACTCCTATTTCCTCTAATAGCAGGTGTTCAGGAAAAATCAAAATGCTTTAGCGAACGTAACACTGGACCCGCCAGTATGTACTGACTAAATCGAGTTACACCAACGGTAGGAAGCATTGTCATTAACAGTAATAAACAAGACAGTGCAGCATCACCATATAGTTCTATTTACCCATCTAAGACCTACCTCGTTCGAGTAGAAGGAACGCTGTTGCTGCCGAGTAAGCAAATGTCTCTGCGCTATAGTGGGTAACAACAACTCTCGGTTCTGCTGCTCTCTGTCTTCCACCGGCGACTCGTGTTCGACGACGACCGTCGTCGCCGAGGATAGTGTCACAGCAGTGTTGCACAAGGTGATGCAAATTAAAAGGAACAGAACGAGGTCGGTCCGCGGCAGCCACCGCGCCGGCGACCACCGGCACCGTGGATGTTTCACGTGACGACCTTCGCCTTCGGCCCCATCCGTGCCAAGGTCATAGCCGCCGTCACGTCGAAGCAGCTTCACTATCGGCATCTCTGTAGGCACTGCCAGCGTGCCGGCCCTCACACTCTGCACAAGACCTGTTCCGTCGGAGCGACCAAAATCAGCCCAGTCAGAGCTGTTTCCACCATCAGCCTGACGATCATCACTATGATGATGACTATTATTATTATTATTGTTATTAACTATCAAATAACGACGTTTTTCGACGCCGCTGATGCTACAAAAGTTTCTTCGTCTTGTCTCGCATCGTTGGCGTACGGAGCAAGCCCCAGCGGGGGTAGCCAGCGTTGGCACTCTCATTGTTGACGTCACCTTCAACAATGGGCGATCGTGCTGTCGCCGTCGTCGACTGCGGGGGCAGCGTCGCTTTCGTTCTCTTAGTGCTAACTGTGCTTGCAGTCGATGTCTCTTCTGCCCAACGCTATCACCATTATTCCTGTTATAATCGATGGACAGGGGCAGATTCTCACTGCCGTTAACAGAACTATTCATGTTATCGCCGATGGTTTGCGTATACGCGCGATGAGCTTGACCATTATCAAGCCTTCGGTCCCTCACGGTCGAGTTAACTTCTCTGTACGTTGTCTCATCATCAATGTCTATGTCAGTCTTAGGAGTTGAATTATCACCATTCGGAATGGCATAAGCGGTTGCCACTTCATCATCATCATCATCATCGAAGTCGTCGTCAAGATATTGATCATTCTGTACGTCTGTAAGCCATCCCTTGTCCCCGTAACCATTGCGAGGTACCGTCGGCCGACCTGCACTTTGGCTGCACCTGGGCGCCGCTGCATCCGTCGTCACCTTAACGCCCCCCGCCAAAACATATCTCCGGGTCGTTCTACGTCGTTGCGAAGCCCCACACAACTGAGCGAATAACGAGGTTTTTGGCTGTTCGTAAAACTGCGAGCCAAGTGCTAATCCATTGCTTCGACGGCAGCCGTTACTGCGGTCGCTATAGTTGTATTTGTAATAATGGTTTTGTTGTTTACGGTCGTTGAAAGCGGCTGGACTGAACGTCGAACTGTTTTGTGTGCCGACCAGATCACTGGCCGCTAGCGCGTTGTTTGCTAAGCCGTAGGCGTACTTTGTCATAGTGCATAGTTGTTGCGCTAGCTTAGTTAAGTTTGCCGTTTTTATTGTTGCCACGCGACGCTTTACGTCGTCGTTGTCGTTCCATGCAAACTCCGACGCCTCTTTCTGGTAGGCCGATAAACGATGGCAATTCTCAGCTGCGTAATTTGGTCGAGAAGTTAGCAACAGCTGCTTCGATCTTGTTACCTCGTCTATTGCTGCAATGTTTCTAGTGGCTTCATCCTCCGTTTTCGCTCTACAAACGACGACAGTTTGAACATCGTGATTAGGTCATCAATTAGTAGTCGAATTTACCAGCGATCAACGTGACTGATAAGGCCTATTAGTGGTAACGTGTTTGCCATCTACCTTTAGCTAATATTGATTTAAGACATGTAACAGAATGACTATTATAGCGATGTATTCTTTATTCTCTAAGTTTGAATGCTACAGATAACATTAGCGCGATCCTACACTATCGCGAATAATCTATTTAAGGTTTGATTACTTTTAAGTGTATGAAGTTTAAGTCATCCCTTAGTAGTAAAAGCTTGAAACTGACGACGAGGTACATCACTTGGCCATCACTCGTGTGCCGTCTTAGGTGCGAGGTCCTAACTCTGCCACGTCAACTGTTAGCCAACAATTTTCAATAACAAGATGGAGACCGCCAAGAGATCATACAGGATCGTCCGACAGTCACTCTTGATGACGCAATACACACACCAATAGATTTATTAGGGAAGTGACCATTATTAAATACATTATGTAATCCGTCATCGTTAGACGCTCTGATTTCTGCTACCCAGTCTCACTCGTAAACAGCGAAAAAGCGTTACTTAATATTACCTAAAAATAGCTAAGAAGATCTGCCCCAACTTTCTTACATATCGGAACTTCCCAATGTCGCCTTACACTTGGGAATTACTATGTATTCAAATCCTATGAGTATCTGATACCAAATAACGTGAGATGCAGTAAACTGCAGGTAATCCGATCGGCCAAATGAATCGTATTAGGTCCCGAAACCTCATACGTTTTGTGCGTGTCGAAAAAAGAGTCTAGAAATAATACGTCTCCGCAATATCTTCTATTCCAGAATCAATAATTCATTTACCCCCAACGCTATTGACACTGCACCCAATAGAAGAAAATCAATCGAAACAGCAGTTTGCTGTGCAGCTATCTCGCTATTGTATTCCTTCGAACGCTAACGACCAATGATTTTGCTTAGAAAAATTAGGTAACGGCTACACAATTTCTCCCAAATGCTCAGATTAATTTCGTAGTTGTTAAATACACGTGTATATCTATCGTTAGAGCAGCTCGAATCACTTTTTATTTTGAGAGGCCTTGGCCAAGCCTATTTACTGGCCCCTAGACAGGGGGCACTCGCCTATATCTCTATTGTAACAGAAGGTAGCTAGTGTTTGAGCTGCGAAAACCACTATTCGAGCCAATGAAACCAGTATCTACCACACTTTGACTCATTTACTCAAATGTGTGTACATGAATAACCCAGTTTATATTCGACGCAATTTCTACCCACGCAAAAAAGATCTGTCTCTAACAAGAGCGTTCTCTATAGCATAAAATTAGCGGACCAAGGAACATTAAACGATACCTACTAGTATACTAGCATATTCGACATTAGTATGATTAAATATACACATCATGTATTATATCACACAATGAACCCTAGGCACGGCTAAATGCGTTGTGGACGCTTCAAAAACATAACCGCTGATCATCATCATCATCATTTCGAATATAATTTACGGCCATATCGTTGATCTACCGAGTCGTTACAATTGGGCTGCTTTATTTAAGTGCACCGATAATGCCAAGGTACCAGCGTGAATCAAGCTGAATAACTTACATGGGTAGCCCCCATATGAATGTCTGGGGGTATAGACAAGATTGATCTAGTTCCTCTTTTGGCTGCTGCCGTTGTGGCTGTTGTTGCCGTTCGAGATAACGGTGACCCTGGTGATGTCTTACCAACAGGATCCCGTCGTTGCTGCTGCCGTCGCCGTCTTCGTCGAGATATTCCACTCGGTTTCGTCCGCCGAGACTGTCGTTGCGTCTGCTGCTGTGTGCGCCGCTGCTTGTCGGCGCGCTGCAGGGCGACGCCGGCGCTGCATTGGCGGGCACCCACGGCCTGAGTCATCTGGTCTCCACCGGATGGCCGGTGGTGTGCACCGTTAGTTGTAGCAAACCGCCAATCTGATCTGTTCGGCAGGTGCCTTTTGCTAGTAGCTTTCTCTGTAAGCCGCACCCGCGCGACGTTACGACAATACCAACAGCGAGCGGATCTTGCATCTGCAATGGACATCGGCCAACAGCACGCCCCGAAAATAGCTGATTAGTTACATATGGGGAGGTAGGTTGGAAACATGCGGAGGAAACCGTAAAAAAAGGTGGGTCTGCGTCTAGCCCAGAAAAGACATCATGATTCCCCAGTGGCCTAGCAAATATGTTGCAAAGACGACATGTGGCAGAAATGCGTCTCCAACTAGTTGTATTTGTTAAGTGCTTGAAAATAATGAAGTTTATGAATAAAAAAAATACCTCATGAACACTTTGTCTTTAGCGAAGGTTTCGTTGTCAATGAACCAGCTCTGGCAAGGATAACATCGCATTTATTTAAATAGATATGTTTCATATAATTGTAGAAAGGATTTCTCTAACTAACCGTTAAAGATGTATTTCATTACATAGAGTTATAACGATTTTTTCGAAAAATCGCGAAATATGAGCCTATTTCAGATCTGCAAGTGACCTGAATTCAGACGACTCCTTCCTCCGACCAAAGATTATTTGAAGAAACTTTAATGATAATTTAGCATAAACGTTTTCGGTAACTAAGCCAATAGATTTAATATTTCATTATTTTCAATATCTAGAGTAAGATAGGTATCATACAGAAGGTAAGGCTAGCTGTGATAAAGGACTTCGAAGGCCCTGGCTTACGGAGCGTGAATCATTCGAACAATGTTAAGTTTGGCTTCAGCGCGTAAAATATTTGCCTCTACGAGTCTGGATCAGATACGTAAAAGTGTAACGTAGAAGGCTCTATGAAATCGACGCTTTAAGGAAGTATTCACTTTCATCCATTTTGCATGCGTTACGTCCCTGAATTCGAGCAAACGATTTTACCGTCATAAAGACGGCCTACAAAAAATGCCATAAAATAAAATTATACGATGTCGTAGATCTTTCTAGATGGTCTTGGCGTTTAGCGTGTCTCGGCTCAATAAGTCCTACTGAGTAATGGTTCGAATTGACAATCGTTGCATTTGGTACTCAGTAGCATTGCTCGAACTCGACAGAATCCTTCTAAGTTTTAATTGTGTTTGCTAAGTTAAGCTAGACTTCGAAGGTGTAGTCGTACCTTATGTCGATCCTAGCTCTTCTAAATTACGTCTGCTGAAATCAGATACATGCTGTTTATACGAATATATCCATAGTATGGTCAAAAGTTCAATTTTAATATAGCCTTGGTCAACTAGGAGGCAGCTCGAGGTGCTTTGTACAATCCTCAAGAGTCGAGCGAGCTCCTTTTTTGCAAATGTGATTCTGATGTGCTAGCTGGATTTCTGAGTAGAAGGAAAATAAACATTTACCAAATAAAGGTTATAACTTACGTGAATAGTACATATAAGAAGTTCTTATAAACAGAAAATAAGAAGAGTTTGTCAAAATATACACTGTTGGGGGGTGAGCCCAAGAGAAAAATTATTTTGTGGACCATTATTTGCGATGCTATATGGCGACTGAGGGCTTTATGAACGCTTTATGAACGTAGTTTCTATAAATTGTACCAGCTATTTTTCAACACTACTGCTACTACGTTTAACAGTTCTGCATTCTCGGCGTTTAACACCGTGTCGCAGTCTGTTCATGTCGCAATATTACACGGTTAAGACTGTAGAGGTTGCAGGTCGACAGCTCTGTTCAGGCCAATATGTGGCCCTTGAACAAAGAATGAAACCATGCAACGCTTGACGTTTCATAAATTACCATGTTGTCCAATCACGTCAATATCTGCATGAGCGCATAACTCCACTCAAGGGTTGAAGTTGATCCCGCATGTTGCAATCGCCTGTTGTCTACACGGATAGTGAAAGCCGACAGCGATAACGATACTTATAATAATACTGTTTGTCTATTTTTGTACAGCCCTCATCTTTGCATGGCATAGCAATACTCGATGCTATAATACACCACTCTGATCTATAGGTAGAAACCATTTCGCAGCGTTTGACATTGGCAGTGGAATAATAACAATGTTCAATAAGAAATACTGTGTTCCTATTGCTATTACGAACGCTGATAGAAGATGGAAGCTACCGATGCATTATCTAGTAGTGTGCATTGGCCAAACGTTCCCCTAGCAGAATGTTCGCCAAAAACCGAAAAAGTTACCCGTTAAGACGTCGTTTCTCTTACCTGCGAAAATATTGGACAAATTTTAATTCTAAGATATATACAACCACAAACAACCATCTTACCATTAATAAGGTTTGTCGTTAACCATTTGGAGTGATTTTGATTTATTGAATTTCAATTTGAAAGCGAGAAATACTGACTCAGAGATTGGGTCGGTGTTCTCCGGTTCGGACGGGCCGACAAAACCTGCGTTCTACTCCTAATTGTTACTAAAGAATGCTATAAAGCGTCCCTTTTCAGACATGCTTCATGAGGCCGTGTGGACAACCTCAAAAAGTTTGCAGAGCATCGAACTTTTTGTTCCTATTAGTTTCTTCTATTTTTTTTTAAATTTTATTTATGGTTAGTATACGTTTTTGTATAATTTTCTACAAATTAAAGAATGGCAGTTGTAAAAATAAAATGCCAACCTAACCGGACAAATTAAGTAGCAAGCTCATAGATGCTAGCACTGCGATTTGAAACATTTAGAGTCAATTAAGCAATGAAGATATCATACCTGATAAATATGCGGATTTTAGGCAATTTTACCTTTGAAACAGTTTCACTTCTTATTGGTAGAGTATCCTTTATGAGTCTTTCTTTTTTTTTTTTACTATTGAGAAATCCCTCTAGCGAAATGACGTCTCATTGGCAGAGTTAATATACTGTCCACAATGCGCAATACTGCATGTACCGCCACGAGCTAACGGTTACGAATATTCATATTGGTTATGTTGGCAGGGGGTGAAAAGTCGCCCCTTACTTGTTGTCTTAGCAATCCAATCTGCGCTATCATTCTCTCGCTCTCTCTCTCTCTCTCTCTCTCTCTCTCTCACTGCCTCTCTTATATTTGCTACGTGAAAACGACAAGCGTTTTAGTCTCAGAATCACACTTGTAGAATGTTTTTGTTCCTATATCGTTTGAAGATTTGAAGAGGGTAAGTACAATCAACCCTGCGATATCATCTATTTTCAGCCAGTCTGCGAATAGTCCGTATCCAATATCAATTCTTTTTATTGTTTTCGCTTATAGAAAATCTAACGAAATATCGAACAAACTCATGTTTCGTTATGAATTGTAAGTAAGGCATCTGGCTTGGTCCTCCTATTTGAACAGCCATTTCTATCCTTAGTTGAAACATATTCATCGTTCAATACAGGTCAATTACATTCGAAAGCCCAAAACAATTCCCATACGAATTCCCCGCTTAAATGCTGACCTGTTTCAAAGTCCGTGCTCCGCCATGCTAGTTAGGGGCATCAAGCAACACCAAGCTTCACCTCAAGGCGCTTTTATTACTAATGGAATATGAAAACTAAAATTATAGTGCAATTGTCGTCAACAGTGATGCCGACGGTTGCCAGAGAAGCAAAAACGTATATGGCATTTAAGCAACTATTACGTAACTGCGAGGCCCGAATCAGCTCCAAGACGTTTATTCAGAAACGTGTCCCTTAATTTAAATATTCGACGACGAATTTTTGTCAGGTACGCTTTGCTTTACAGCATAAGATTGTGTTTTAAAATCTGCATCATTTTTTTTTTATCAACAATCTGTATAATGCTTTGTTACGTAATAGTAACTTTCGAAGCGTAATTACAGATACGGCCAAATCGTACTCATTCAGTTACGTTAACGCGAAATGTATTACGAAAAAGTGTAAAATTGAAAAAAATACTATAAGATAAAACCTAGGAAGAGTATATCAGGCATTAATGAATAGTCACACACATCGACATATACGCGCCGAATAGATAGGTTTTTCGGTACGACTTTAACTGACTAAACTCATGGTACATCTTCCTTTAAATTGAGAGAGAAGCGTTTCGTAAATGTAGATATCTTCTTCTCCAATATAAAGTATATTTTTCGTCGATTTCACTTCAGTTCAAACTGGGAAGAACTAAGTAAGTGTCGATTATGAACGATGGCCAGCATCAAACAGACAAAGAACATATCCCCCATTTGACCCCCTGAGATAGCCATTTCAGATAGTTTTGGAAACACATGACATCAAAAATGGATCAGAGATGTCATTTGTATCCTTTCGTGGCTGCAAACGTTGTTCACGACGAAACTTTCAATCGATAATATCCATACACAGGTTTTTTCAATTGTCTTAAGTAACAGGTTAGGAACTGCGCCTACTTTAAATGTATAAACTCGACGTGGTATGCAGGAAGTCTGAGTCCTACAAGGACGAATAAGTATCACCTGGAAATCGTGAGCCTACACATGCTAATGCACTTATAGACACGTACGGGAGCACCGGGCATATGTCCAAGTCGAAAGGTCGATTTTTATAGAGCGTTCCCTCATAACTTTCATCTCCGTATGAATAGAGATCGTGCGTAGTGGTTCAAAAACATTTGTCTCAAATTCAAGTGAAGGCCATGCTTTGTACAGTCAATAAACTCAATTAAATAATAAGAATCGGACTACTTTTGAAGCCCTAAATGAGGTCGAAGTTTCAGAGTTGCTGAGTACGTCGAAACACCCTGAAAGGAAAATGCACGACATTTTGCCACGCGATAATACGTGTTTCAACTACAAATATTATTAAACTACCTTGCGCACTTCCATTAACCTTTAAGGCAGATAAAATGAGTTTTTTTTGTAAGCTGAAACTAACAGCGCCTGTGAATACAATTAAATGGATAAAATGTGTGGGCTTTAATCACGTAACAGACGCAATGACGGTGATTTTAGGTTTTCACTTTTTCGACCTTTTTTACAGTTCTGTGCTTTCAAGATTGATGCTGACTATAATTACTATTTGTATGTGCCGCCGACTCCCATGTTTCTTGCTATTTAGCACGAGTTTCCTCTACATACACGCATAACTAGCCAAGAACTCTTCGAGCCAAAGTTATCCATTGGCTACTG